CTTGTTCTCGTTGTAGTTTCAAAATTCATATGGAAAACACACAACAAATTAATACGGTTGCACTTTTCACGAATTTAATTTGTTTTACCCTTCAACGGAGGAATAATACGGTGGCGCATGCCACAATATCCACCATTATAGATTCGTCCATGAGATGTACTCATTCTGATATTATTCAATCTGTTAAATATATTTGAAGTTTTATTTATTAAAATATCGTTCTAAGAACTTATAATTCATGATTGAACCATTCACTTGTTCGACTTAGTTATATTTAAGAGCATTTTCGTAGTTCAGTCACGTTATTCGTTCTTTTATTTTGTGAACATTTGATAATCAAATTTGTCAATGTTTATTATGTCCGTTCGTTTGAATTCATATTATAAGAGAGATAGAGAGAGACTTGGGATCACGTGAGACCAATATGTTTTCGTGAGACTTGTGAGATCATTTTTTACACTTGAAACTTCACAGCAAAACATTGTGAAGGTAACATTCACAGTGTTTTTGTTGCGAAGGTTCAGATTTTTTTTTCCTTCGCAGTGTTTTACTATGAAATTTTAAGTGTAAAAAAATGGTCTCATGAGAACATACTGGTCTTATGTGAACCCAACCTTATATAGATACATACATACATGCATACACACATATGTATATATGTGTGTGTGTGTGTGCATGTATTAATGTAAATATGAATACTTAAAAGTTAAAACCCTAGTCACAATGGTGGATGAGTGGTGACGAAGGTGAAACCAGGGACAGACTCATTTTTTTCCCAAACAGCGGTACCATTTGACTATAAGAAACATATATACGACATTTTTTTTAAATGATGACACCATTTGACTAAGAGTTATGACACTAATACGATTCGAACTTAGGTATGAGGTGGAATAAAAGCCTTGCAAACTAACTTTACCAAATAAAACTTGTTTTCATTGTAGTTTCAAATACATACAGTGACACACAACAGATTAATACGGTTGCACCTTTCACGAACCTAAATTTTTTTACATTTCGACAGAGGAATAATACGGTGGCAAGTGCCACCATATGCCCAACTATAGGTCTGTCTCCGAGTGAAACCGTGATGGTTGGTCAATGTATACATGAACTGTGTGTGTATATATTCACATATAATAAAAAATAAAAAATATAATTTTAATGTAAATAAGTGAAAAAAGGTACAAAGAAAAAATTGTTCCGGAGTTAATAGATTGTTTTAACGGAGTTAGGATCGGTGACCAAATCCAAAAGAAAATGTCAATATCTCGCCCAACTCTATACGTTTTTTCAATTAAGAGACTTGTTTTGTAATTTTTTGCAAACCATAAGGACCAAATATGTTATTTACTCAAAGAACATATTTGTTGTGAATTTGAAATTTGGGGAAAGGTGGGACATGTGGGGGCCAAAACTGACAAATATGATAATCTAGGGGCATTAGAGGACAAGTTAAAAAAGTTGCAGGGGATAACGTACACTTCGGCCCTACTCAACTGACCGTCCTTATGTCACCATACTTTTTTACATTTCGAAATCCAATCCACAAGGGATAAATATTTTTTCAATTATAAACTTGGTCCCTGAGGTTTGGCAATAGTTACGGATTTGATCCTTTCTCTTAAATTTTTACATAACAAACCTCCAAATATGTAATTTGGTCTCTTGTGCAAATGTTCGTCCACTATATCGGTTAAACACAAGGGCATTGTGGTCATTTACTTATTTTCTTTACTTTACGATATTTTAATATTATATATACATATATGTATGTTATGTGTACATCGATGCCTTCATGAATCCCCACTCCAACTCGCTGACCAGTCGTGGCCTCGATGAATCCGCACCACCATCTTCATTCAAATCGACCACCATTATCTTCAGCGTAAGAACACCAACCTCCATCTTATGCTCCCCTACCCCATACCTCCGTCTCCAGCATCACCGTCGTCGACATCTAGGAACCAAAGATCTAAAACGCCATCGAGATCCTCTCATTCACCTGGGATTTGAAAACGACGTCGTGAAACACCCCCCTTGCCTCTAACATGTTATATCATTCCATACATTCATCTAAAACACCATCGAGATCCCCCATTTGTTGGAAACTTGGAATATGCTGGTGTTTTTCTTGTTGGGTATATTCACAAGCGTTATTCTTTTATCAGGTATAAGATGTCGTTGGAATACGTTTATGTTCTTCATTCGTCAAGAAAACTTGAATTGAAGTTGATTATTCAAAGGATGAAAACATAACATTCAAAAAAACATTAAAATTGGAAATTTGGTGAAAAGACAAAAATAACCTCATGTGTTAAAGGAAATGGTGGACGGTTGTTTGCACAATGGATCAGATATACAAATGCATAATTAAAAGTTTATTATATGTAATAATTGAAGATAAATGACAAAATCCGTAAATCTCTTTTTTTTTTTTATCATGTTACATAAATATAGTGTGATTTTAAATGAAAATACATTATAAAAATGGCTTTCACTAATCACGTCAGCAAAAAATACTGAGTTGGATACCATATCACTCGTCACATCATCGTGGTAACTGGTTAATGCTTCAACTGGTTACCCGAGTACTTAAATGTTTAAAATTTTACATCTTAGGTACCAAAATGAAAGTTTTGAAAGTACGTTACTCAAAATATGAATCAAGTTAAAATACGTTACTTTTCATGTAATTTGCACTATTATATATACAAAATGAATGATAAATGTTTTTTTTTGAAAAAAATATTAATAAAAATGTTGATTTAATATACAAATTATAAAAATTATGTTCGCTAGCATATTTTTATCAGATAAAACTAAACTAAAACAATAAAAGTAACATTATGAATCAGTTGATTATTTATAACAGTTGATTTTTTGAATTTGTAACTCAATCCGAAGCAACATGATGTCTAATCGAGTTGTAAAATTTTCAAAGCGTAGATATTGGGTTACTATTATCTGAATTCAACTCAACCGAATGAACATGATATCCTTTTATTTCCTGGATCTAATATGATTGTTGAATTTCTATTAATATATACATTAGACAATTGCACTATCACATACGCTCTTCATATACACATATTTTCAATCTAGTCACATCTTTATATAACTCTTTCGTATATATGTTCAGTAACTGTGAGCATATATATGTAAATTGAGAAAATTAACTGAATGTGATATACATAAGAAACATGGATAAGTTGTATCAAATGATTGATGATGAAAAAAAAATTATGAGTAAAGAAATAACATATTCAAGGTAAACATAATATTTTAATGTACCAAAGTATCAATTTGACCAATCTGAATGGTTTGGGTTAGGTTAAGTTGCACTTTGGTTTGGGTTGGGTTGGTTAAGATTTTTCAAACCACAAACATTGGGCTGAGTCGTTCAAATGCCTCCAATCCAACCCATGAGCACCCTTAGTATGAACCAATTAAAAAATTCCACACTTATATAACAATATAAAAACATTTATAAGTTTTTTGCTATTTAATTAGATAACTTGATACAATTATACGATGATGTATATGTGAAAACAGCGTATAATTTTTATCGTATAATATATTACAAGATAATTCTCAACATATATAGTTATGGACAGTTTATTTACTGCAGGTCTGTAGCATCAAATGTCAGTAATATGCTTTGCAAGGATGTTGATTTTCCTAGATCGGTTGGGGAACCCGACTCACTCGACCCGAACAACGGGGATTCCCCGCTAAAACGGGTATCGGGGCCGGGGATCTACGGTAGACTCAAACCGGGGTCGGGAGCTGTTACTCAAACCGGAGTGGGGACCGAAGCCGAGGATCCCCGGTAGACTCAAACTAAAGGATATTTTGAAATTACAAGATGGTCACGATGACCTGCAAAAATGTCTGGATCTTGTGTCTCATTCTAACGACCGTCAAAAAGTTACGATAAACGAAGAGCATTTTCGTTTTTTAACGACTTCCTTTTGTCATTTATGCAATAAAAAACCACATGGACCAAATTATAAAATCGATTTTAATTGTTCAAAAAACAAAAATCGATAAAATGACGAAATGTTCATCATTTAACGGAATTTTTAATAGTCGTTAGAGGAATGAATCAAATGCACACATTTCTACAAACACATGATGGTGATTTTGTAATTTTGAAACTATAAAGACAAAAAATGTTATTTTTGACAAATCATATGGACCAAATCTATAGTTTACTCTAAAAAAAAGGAGTAAACTACAGATTCGGTCTTGTGGTTCTTTTTATAACATTTTTGATAATTATAGTTTTGAAATTACAAATTGGCCATTATGATATACAAAAACAACCGGATTTGATCCCTACCTTTAATGGTTGCTAAAAAACCCCGTTAAGTGGGGGTATTTTAAACTTTTTGCATTTTTTGTCATTTTCTTTAAAAATAAAATTTTAATTGAATTAATATATATAATATATTAATATAGTATATATACATAGAGGTAAAGGTTCAAACGAAAACACCTTTAATTTACAAGAATACGAGAACATTTATAGGTCTCCAGATATTTAACCCATAATTAAAAGAAAAAAAAATAAAGTAATTAATTAAGGATAATCACGAGATTAATTTGTATTTATTTGTAATTTTGTTGACATGTTTATCTCTAAAATCACGTACAGATAATACGCTAACCAGTATTAATCGGGTCGCCAGAGGTAAAAATGTGGAGGGGATTAGTTTAATTAATCAATCTTTATTTTTTAAAGTAAAATGTCAGAAAGGTATAAAAAGACTAAAATATCCTTCATCTAACGAGATTTTTTAACAGCCACTAGAAGTAGGGACCAAATCTGGTCGTTTTTGCATACCACAAGGACTCCAACTCTCCAAGCGCAAGTGTAGGGAAGTACATGTAATTTAATCAATCTTGTGGGGTTTTTATGACAATTTGTATAAACTTGAGGGTGTAAATTGAAAATTACTTCTTCGTTTGGGGGAAATATACCCATATGAAAGAAACAACGAAGAGGTCGCTAATGGAGTAAATGCTCTAAACCTCTGTCCAGGTCATCTCCCTTTCCGCCATTGCCAATCACTGAGCTCATACTTAAACTTCTTCATTCTCTTCCTTAAACTCTCTGTTTTAACTGGAAATGGTGATTTGAGTTTCAAAGAGATTTAAATCTGACAGCAGCAACAACAAGAAGAAGATTATTGGGGGTTAAGAAGAAGATCTGCACAGAAAACCTACGGTCCGGCGCATGCTATATCCGGATTTAGGTAAAAGTAATGATTATCTACTGTTCATGTTACAGATGTTTATTTTATTGTATAATAATGATGTGTAAATCAGAAGAACTGCTGGAAATTGCATCTAATGGGGTTGAATGTGGAGTTTGAAATTGAGTTGTTTTTTACGAGGTTTTATTTAATTAGTTACAAGGTCCTCAAAAGGAGCTGCACTTCGTTTTCGATGCCGGACTTAGTAATTTTGAAATGCAAAGTTGATCGGGATTTGATTGAGAGTTTAATTTTATACGCAGCAATTCTTATGAACATTAACGCAGTTAGTATTATTTTTTTGTTGGAAATTAAGAACTCATGACAGTTTTGAAGTTGAGGAGTAAGCGTGACATCCAAAGAGGAAGTGTGGCTTTGATTTCTTTGAAAACGGAAATTGTACTTTAAACTGCGAGGTGACACTTGGGGATGCATTTGGGTTTGATCATGATTAAGTGAAAGAAGTGCTAAATGACTAAATCTTGTATTGTCATTGTCAAGTTATTTTAGTTTTTTATTTCTTTTCTGGGGATCTTCTTGACTATAATATTAGGGTTTTCTGGTATGCCTATAGCTGTTCAGATATGGCAGACTCGAGCTCGGTCAACGTCATACTTGAATTTCTGCGGAGTAATAAATTTGCTAGGGCGGAGGCTGCATTGCGGAGTGAGATTGGTAACCGGGCCGACTTAAATGGGTTTATGCAAGGTCTTAAGCTTGAAGGGAAAGAAATAGAAGGGAAGCTAGTAGGTGAAGAGGGTATGGCAAAGTCTGGCGTGAGTGGCTACCAAGAAAAGAGTTATCGGATTAGCGATGAAGCATTAAAAGAGGAGTTCATTGTGAAGGAAATAGAATATGGGACTACAACGAATGGATCAGCTAGTAACTGGAAAAATGTTGTTGAAGAGCAAAATAGAGCTGGTGAGCCAATTGGAACAAGTGATAAAAAATATATGCTATCTAACCATTCGGAGGAAACTGTGCTTGATTTATATTCAAGGAAGTTTAGTTCCAGTAACGGGTCTGTTGATCTTTACCAGAATGATGCTTCCACCAGAACAAATGATGCGAAAGATTATGAGGTTTCTTCTCAATCAAAGATTCATCCAACTGAAGTAGCTGATATAGATGGAGTTACTGTGAAAGTGGGAGCAGAAACAGATTTTTCTGCAGGGAGGAAACAGTCATTGCTTGCAAGTACTTTTAAAGCAAGTTTGGTGCCAAAGCAGCAGAGTATGGATAAAGTTATGGAGCCTAAGGAATTTAATCGTCAACATCAGGTTATGGGTGCAGTGTCCAGAGATGATTTTATGGATAATCCTTGGTCGAGAAATGATGAACTTAAATATAGTTCGTCAGAGCTGTGGAAAGATTGTTCGGTTAAAACTGTATTTCCTTTCCCTAAAGGAGATGCATCTACCAGTTATGAGACTAATTGTGGTGTTGGAGAAAAAGAAGACGGAATACGAAGGCCTGACAATAACATTAGGGCAACTATCAAAGAGCAAGTGGATGAGGTTGGAAGAGCTTTGTACTTTGCAACAGCTCAGGGAAATAATGAATCTAAAGCTTTTGGTGGTTTAGGATTTCCAGTCATCTCTCAGAAACAGAAGGAAGAGTTACCCAGGTTACCACCTGTTAAACTCAAATCAGATGACAAACCTTCAAGTATAACTTGGGAGGAGAAGTACCAACGTGATGGACCTGTTTCAAATACCATTACTGCTGACAGCAGTTATCTTATAGGATCATTTCTGGATGTTCCAATTGGCCAAGAAATAAGCTCTTCAGGTGCAGTAGTATTTACACTTATCTATTTCATCTGGAACATGTTTAACTTGGTTGGCATTTTATGTAGTTGTTGATATGTGATACTAATATTAATACTATACAGTATACCCCCAGGCATCAGGAGCACATGGTTATGTTTGCAGCACTATTTTATGTATAACTTTTCAGGAAGGCACCTGCCTTTGCTGTTCCTTCACTTTGATAAAGCGTTCTGTGTGGAAAAGGATATTAGACAACTTAGATTTCGACTATTTGGTTGAACTATTTTTTCCTTGCACTTTATGCAGATATATGGGAGCCTTTTGTTAAAACTACGGCCCACCCTATTAGCATGAGACATTAGTTACTAAATTATATGTATTCTGCCCATAAGTATCTTTCACTGCTTTCGTTATTCCTGTATAATTTTATGAATATAATGACTGTTAATGTTCCAATATCCTTATTCTTGCCTCTTAACACAATTCTTTGGTTCATGACTTCATCAACTAACTTATGCATCCTGCCAACATTGAATGGGTGATGACTCGCACAAGCACCTGTGACTTTCTTTGGTCAATAATTGCTTAAATTTCAGCAATCGAGTTAATAATAAATCTTTAAATATCTTGAGACGCTATTGGTCCAGAAATGAGCAGTTGTTGATTGATGAAACTCCAGTCTCCAGTAGATCTGTCAAGAAGCTCTTAGTTATGGACACTGTGAGAAGTATCAGGCTTGGTTTTGTTTAGCACATTGCAGCTCTTTTTTTAGCTTACAAATGTAGACAGGCAGTGCTACAAAAAGTAATTTCAGTGCTTTCTTACAAATATAACTAAATTCATGTTAGGACTTATTGCTGATGCCTGATGGTAAATGGGGATGCTAAGTTAGCTGTCAAAAGTATAACGTGGTTGTGTTTCTTGAGGCTGGGGGATTGATTGGGGTTAATATCCTAGGACAGTGTGGTCTTCCAGTGACTCATGCTAACTAAGAACATGAATTCAGAAGAAGAAGAATTAATATTTAATGGTACCTTGGTACTGTCGACAATCTAATTTGATGAGGATAGGTACTTAGAAGAGTGGTATACCAAGGTACTCCTTGTTTTTATGGATGAAGGTTGCCGCCTTAGATCTGTATGGACCTGCAACATTTTCTTCTTCTGCACTGAGGTAATGAGTCATAGATTTCTGTTATCGGTTTTATGGTGGCAGGTGGGCACAAACAAGCAAGCATATCGTTCCTGAATTAATAGTACTATGTTGTCAGTTTGTGCCCTTAGGCCAGCAGCATTAAGGGTCTGGGACATTTGCAAATATCATATGTATCATATCAAGCAGAATACAGACAGTATGTTCAGCAGTGCTGCCACCTGAGATGGAGTTTGTGTAAACTCTGGCTATTTGATTTTCATACATAGGTCTTTATCATGGAAAATTGAGATGAGATCACAAGGAATGATCAGTTCAACCTCATGTTTCCTGGCTTCAACAAGGTAAAAATCAGTCTGAAAGCAGGCAATACTTGCAATTGAATATCCTGTAGGTGGAATCACATGAAAAGACATTGCTAGACAAAGTATCCCTAGAACAGTAAATTAAAAAAAATTGCATGTGCACCTCACATGATGGTGTTACCAGGGTTAACAAAATTCTGTTAGAAAAAAGAGGTAAAAACAACCAGTTGATTCTAGTGACCAACATTATGGGTTCTTGAAGTATAGGATCAAAAGTGTGAATAAAGCCAAGTGCTTGGATTGTTTGTGCAATTTGCTCAAAGTTCATCATCCAAATACATGCATCGTGTTTGTAGAATCCGAGTAAAAATGAAGAATATTCTATAATTCCACATGAATACGGGCTAAGAAAATAAGATGACCTGCATTTTGGTTTTACTTGATTATGCATGTTAAATTCTTTACTTGAAGTCGTGGTTCCCAAATGCAATTTAGTTACAGTTTTTGGAGTCTTTACCGTGAATCCGTGATTGATTCTGGTTCTTCAGTTCCCTGCTGCCTGTACCTTTTTGATCCCTCTGTGCTCTGCTCTTCATGTAACTTAAGAGGTTCTTAACATCTTCTCCTTTGATGATTTAGGTGCCAAAAGGCTTGCAGGTGGCAATTGGTTCTCTGTAAGTCAGGGCATTGCTGAGGACACTTCTGATCTAGTATCTGGTTTTGCAACAATTGGTGATGGGCTGAGTGAATCTGTTGATTACCCAAATGAGTATTGGGACTCTGATGAATATGACGACGACGACGATGTTGGCTATATGAGACAACCTATTGAAGATGAGAGCTGGTTTCTGGCTCATGAAATTGACTACCCAAGTGATAATGAGAAGAGAACAGGCCATGGGAATAGTCAAGATGCACAAGAAAGAGGCCCAGAAAAAAACGAGGATGACGATCAGTCATTTGCAGAGGATGATTCATACTTATCTGGTGAGCAATATTTTCAGTCAAAAAATGTGGATCCAGATGCTCACTCAGATGGTGCTATAGTTCTGTCAACAGCAGATATGTATAGCCAGGACGACCATGATTTGGTTGCTCAGTATGATGGGCAATTGATGGACGAAGAGGAGTTGAATTTGATGCGTGCAGAACCTGTGTGGAAGGGGTTTGTCACACAAACAAATGAGCTCATTATGTTAGGTGAAGGTCAAGTCTTAGATAAGGCTGGAAGGCCCCATTTGGAAGACCTTGGTATAGATGAGGATCAACATGGTTCAGTTCGATCAATTGGTGTGGGTATCAACAGTGATGTTGCAGATTTTGGTAGCGAGGTCAGAGAGAGTTTGGTTGGAGGTAGTAGTGAGGGGGAGTTGGAGTACTTTCGCGATAATGATGTTAGTATGTCACCACATGATTCTGAGAAGAAATATATTGACAGAGCCATGAGAGACAAAACGAGAAAAGCCATATYTGATCATGATAAACCTAGAAGTTCAGGTATATTAACAAAAAATGTGAGTGGTAGTGGATTTTCATTTCCGCCTCCTAGAGATGGACCGTCGATCACTAATAAAGCTTTCTGGATAAACAAAGAAAATGCAATTATAAGTGAGGAAACTGCTGATCAAACTTTGACGGGAAATGATGATCTGCTCCCTCCATGGAGACGGAAAAGTAGTAGTTCCTCACCTGTCAAAAGTTCAAGGGATGAAGACGACGCAGATGCTGTAGGTTCAGCAAATTCCAGCCCTTCCACACTCTCAAATTATGGTTATGCTGAAAGGGTCCGCCTAAGCAAAGAAGAGGAACAGAAAGTTGCTGGTTCAAGAGAGGAAGATCCAGGGGCATCACTGGAGGATGAAGAGGCTGCTGCTGTACAAGAGCAAGTGAAGCAGATAAAGGCTCAGGAGGAGGAATATGAAACCTTCAATCTTAAAATCGTGCACAGAAAAAACAGGTATGTCTTCCATTGCATCTCACTTGAGACCAAATATTTAATGCTATTTATCCTATGCGAATCATAATAGTCATCTTCTATCTATACTTTGTTGGTAACCAATTTTCAACAAAGTTCAACACTTACTGGATGGAGATTGGACATTTAAATGAGATCTCAATGATTGCCGCTACCACAAAAATGTGGATGAACTGTTGCTGAGTTGAGAATTCTACTGCCCTTGGGTAAGGATTCAAGGATGGTTCATCCAAATATAGTACTAGGTAGTATGACAAATCTTGGCTTTAAGCAACCAATCTGGAACATTTCTGATTTGTGATCATGGCTGTGTAAGAACATCTTTGGGTTTTGAATGATATAATTTGTACACTTCTTGGACATTTTTGAAACCGAAAGTAAGACCATCAAACCGGAAAGATGCATTGCCAAGCAATAAATGGCTGTGTCTAGGCATTGCTCATCGTATTATGAGCTTAGAAACTGACTTTTGAATCAATTAGTGTTCCTTCTTGTGACAAGATGGAAAGTGAAATTATATAACAACGTTGAGCGTGAAAGAAACAAAAAAATTGTAGGTCTTGAACTCTGATATTCTAGTGATGTTAAGTTGTCACAGTATAGGGGGTTCTACCAAATGTCAAAAATTATTCTCTTGGTTCAAACAATTAAGAAAGTAATATGATTGAAATCCTTGGTTTTACAAAGGCTCTTAAAGTAACAACCCCACCTACAAACATTATCAACAAGGTGGACCAAATTGACTTGACTGTGTAGGGCACAAGATTCTTTCGATGTGTCACTAATAGGCATGCACCATAAGATGCCAATTGGATTAGAACTAAATATCTGTGTAGAAATAAAAGGAAATTATATGCATCAAGCAGAAATGATCGAGGCATATGTCTTGAATATCATGTTAAGGCACAAAGGAAACATATCCTTAGTCTACATGTCATAATGACAAAGCAGGCACACTGGTGGAAGAGCACCTTTAGCATGGACAAGGATCTCCCAGCTATGGGTGCCCAAATTTCCACTTGGACCCAAAAAACAAAAAACCTAACCGGCCTCACAAATTCGAAGTTGGTTTCTGGTTTTTGTTCGGTTTAGATCCGAAACCAAAATTTGTATTTGGTTTCCCATTTGATTTTCGCATTGGAGGTTTTCAAACCAAACCAAGCTGCAAACCGGCCAAAGTCAAAATCTGATCTCATCAGTTCAAAACTGAGTGCCAACCAAAAACCTAGACATGAATTTGGTGTGGGTTAAAATAATTTTTAACCGAACAAGCCAAACCAATTTAACCGACGAACTCAAAATCCGAACTGGTGATGTGATCCATCACTCTAAAGCACATACTGGTTCTTGGCAACAAACATATGTCATGCACTTGAGTGGATCTGGGAAGACAGAAGACTAGTTGCTAAAAATGACGTGAACATGTAAATTCACTTGTTTGTCTGCATTAACTCAGTGTCCTTTGTGATAACCTACATTTAGTCCACACCCTTTCCATCTATTCATAAGTTACTTTATTAGTTAAAGAGGTTGATGATAGTCAAGTTGGCCTGGTATTTTATGAATTTTGCCACATGTTTAAAACGAGTTTTCTGCCAAACATGGAGAAACAGAAATCTGTTATAGCTACTATTATATTTAAAGTGGTTAACAATGTTTTAGTTTTGCTTATGCTCAATGCAAGACTTGCTATGCTGTACTGAGTGCATCTTTCGAGGAGAATAGTTGACTTCATCTACCTTTGTTATTGTTTTATGTTGGCATATCAGAAGTATGTTTAGTATATTGTTGCTCCCTCGGTTTCAACACATCAGACCATTTCCCCTAAGACAATTTTGCCAAATCACAAGGAATTATATTTGTATACTTTGGAATGAAGTTGGTATCATTTTCCTTGCTGAAATAGCATTTTACCTAACCTTATCTTTTGCAGATACTTTCTATTCATTTTTGTATCACCTGTTTCTTATTTATCTACATCGTTGTTGGAACTTCAACATTTTCTGTAAACTAAAGATCAATTTGTTCTCAGAACTGGCTTTGAGGAGGACAAGAATTTCCATGTTGTTTTAAATTCTGTCATAGCTGGTCGATATCATGTTACCGAGTATCTTGGGTCTGCTGCATTTAGCAAAGCTATTCAAGCACATGACCTTCACACTGGCATGGATGTGTGTGTGAAAATCATAAAAAACAACAAAGACTTTTTTGATCAGAGTCTTGATGAGATAAAGCTTCTAAAATTCATCAACAAGCATGATCCTGGTGACAAGTATCATCTTCTCAGACTTTATGATTACTTTTACTACCGAGTAAGTGATTACTAGTTGAAAATTCTCATTTTTTTTTGTTGGCTATTTTGGTTCTCAATATGCCGTTGCTTTCTAATAGTTGCAACCATGCCACAATTCTGTACTTTATGTTTTCTCATAGCCTTGGAAGCATCTACGGGAGGATGAGGCTTTCTTTTGTTCATCTCCTTCTTGCTTCTCCTATGGTTGATTTGACTTCTTACTTTTTCATTATGGATTTGTGGTAAAGGAACAGTAGTAGTAGCAGGGGGGAATATATATATATATATATATATTCCATGGTATTAATCTTTATTATTTCTGCATATTTCTTGGGTGGGAGAAAGCTGTTGAGTGGGTTTATGATAATAATAAACTATTGCTTGATTGCTCAGGGATGCCAATGCTTTTTTGAAATATCACCCTACAAGAAATATGCGACTATAGTATACATCCATGTGAAAATGGATCGAGTTGGTTGATGACCTATAGATGGAGCAACTATTGCTGCAAGTGGGTCCTCTCTCAGATGCAGCTTTGGCCCAATTCCTGATAAATGGGTGCTACAAACTAGGGCATGATACAATTGATATCACAGAGGGTTAGGACTGGTCTTGCACAAGAAAAAAAGGCAATGGAAACGGAAGAGCGGTCACTGTGCAGCAGTATGCTGAAAAGTTGAAAATAGGAAGAAATCAGAGAAATAGAGAATTTCAAATGAAGAGAGAGATAGAGAGAGAGAGAGAGAGAGAGAGAACACTTGTTTGTCTTTTTTCATGCACTTGGTTTACAAACTTTTGTTGACTTTATATCTACTACCACTGCCTTCTATCATGTGGTCCCTCCTCTAACATTGACAAACGTCTAACAGAAAAAAAGAAGAATTATTTAAATAATTGAATCACATGGATGGCCCTTGTGAATTTCTTCATTTGGGCTTCCTTGTCCTGATCTTGAGGCCTAGCCCAGTAGGAAGCATTGTATCATTTATATAACTACTAGCTCCAACACCAGTTATAACATCTTGGCTGTAGCTCTTTGCATGCATTTGGTTGTGCATATGCAATCATCCCCTGCACATATAATCTAGTATAAATGCTGCTGCTTGCCGCCTGTAAAAATCTTTATGCTGTACCTGGAAGCATTTTTGTCTTTCAAAGTGAGGTCGGTCCTTGGCTGCATATATTTAGAACTTACAGGGGAAAAAGGAGCTTGATACTGCCACAACAAGTTTATGCCAGCCACTCTTGGGAGTAGACAAAATTTTCTGTTCACCCAAAATGAGAGTAGATGTATGCACTACGTCAATGTGGACTGTGAGGCAAACATTTTACATTTTTTAAAATTTTTTTGTGCTACCCTGGCTCTTGTTTCTGTTACATATCTGATTTTCAAGATTACATGATGGTCAGCAAGTTGAATGTAGGGTTTGCTGCTTTGTTTTCGTTTATCATGTGAATGCTTTATGAATGGGAAAGCCTATGTGATGCGAGCTTGATGATTACATTTTCATTCAAAAGAACTGATCGTGTTTTCTCTCATTTACAGGGTCTGTTTCTTGCATTCATGTTTTCTTGTTTTGTATTAGGAACCTATTTGATTTGCCTTTTTATGTTAACTTGTATATAATATTGCCCTTGCTTATATTTTCAGGAACATTTGTTAATTGTTTGTGAACTTCTCAAGGCAAACTTATACGAATTTCATAAGTTCAATAGAGAATCCGGAGGAGAGGTTTATTTCACAATGCCAAGATTGCAGGTTTGTTGGGCCTCTTTATCCGCCCTTCTTATGAGAGAGATACTAGAGTTGGGTTCCGATGAGAATGAGAGTTATGGTGAGAAGGGTAAGAAGGGATCTCCACCCTTGGATCAATCCTAATTGAAGAGTTCAGATAAACTTGGTAATTATGTATATATATATCGATTACAATCAGGGATATATATAAGAGATACATTTACACTCTAGACCCTCTAATATAATTATATATATATATCACACTTAATTGTCTAATAAGTTCCACTAGATCAACACTAATGAGAAGCACCGGATCAATTCCCTTCTAAAGCATAATTCATGGGTTGGTTTGAGATTAAAAGTGATCGAGGGTCCAAATCCATTCTTCACTTCTCACCTTAACTCCTATTCTCACATGATCCTTCGTCAAGATACTAATAGAACATGTACATTGCTTTCTGTTCATATATGCAGTCAATAACCATCCAATGCTTAGAGGCACTTCAGTTTTTGCATGGTCTTGGGATGATACATTGTGATCTGAAGCCTGAGAACATTTTGGTGAAGAGCTACAGTAGATGTGAAGTGAAAGTCATTGATCTTGGGAGTAGCTGTTTTGAATCAGATCATCTTTGCTCCTATGTTCAGTCTAGGTCCTATCGTGCACCAGAGGTTATTTTGGGGCTGTCATACGATAAAAAGATCGATATTTGGTCCCTTGGCTGCATCTTGGCTGAACTTTGCACTGGAAATGTGAGTATTCACCTCTCGGTAACATATGCCGTTAAAGTATCCAAATTGCTTAAAGGGTTACCTTTATTTTATCTAATGTTGTTGATTTTGGTGCTTCATAGGTAGTTACTCTTTTATTAAATTTTGTTTTTTTTCTTAAGGGGTGGCTTGCACAAAGGATTATTAATACATATTCTAATTCTTGCCTTGATTGCATGAGTATTGCTCGTGTAGTACTGATATGGTGATACCGGGAGTTAGAGGGAGGTTCAGGGAAACCCCCTAAAATATGAAAAACTGAGGAACACCCTGGTAACCGTTTATCTAGATGGTATACACAACATACAAGTAATTGAAGTTGTTTCTTGGTTTTTATGCACATGTTCATACCGGACAAATTGCTTACAAATTACTTGTATGTACCTTCCAGATGAATAGTTACCAGGGTGTTCCTCCGTTTTTCATTTTTTTGCGGTTTTCCCCTGAACCTGACCCTAGGGAGATAATACTATAGATTGTGATCTCATCATTCTTGTGATTGCACTAGATGAAGCTGGATGTATCGTTACTTCATGATTTTGGTTCTTTTTTGCCTATAAAAATGAGAACTCAAAAGTTAGTTTACAATCTAGTTAATAACTTTAATGTGACTCGTTGAGATTACTATCCGAAATTGGGCAAAGTGTAACTTTGTGATGTGCACATATGACACATCAGAAATTGGGCAAAGTTAGTTTCTGAAATGTGTTCTTTTCTTCCCCAAGTTTCATTGCTCTAATTGAGCTAATCAAATGTAAAAAGTCGGAAAATTTTCCAATAGTAAGTGAGGTCTCATCATATAACTTCTGCTCGTTGCAAAAAACTGAAATGACGTTTCCGTGTTGTGTAGGTTCTCTTCCAGAATGATTCCCCAGCTACGTTACTTGCTCGAGTGATAGGAATTATTAGTCCAATTGACCAGGACATGCTTGCCAAAGGACGAGATACATACAAATATTTTTCCAAAAACCACATGCTTTATGAGCGAAACCAGGTACCATACTCGTTACAATATCTCGTTTTCTACAAGTTCAATAGCGGAGTTTTTTTTTTATTATTTTGTTTTTGGTGCATTTTGGTATGCCGGACACCGACAAGAACTTAACACCGACAAGATAGAACAAAAACTTACTGTCCCACGTTTGGTGCGGCATTAGACTAGGATAGGACAAACCGAGGGCTTGTTTGTTAGCAGCTTAATGAGCTTAACAAGAGTCACTGCTTATTCGGTCAGCCATACATGACTCTTTTGTAGTGGCTTAATGATGTAGAAAGTGTTCTATGCCAAAAATTAAAATTTTCTCCAAGCCTGTCCCTCCCAATTGAAAAACACGCTCCTTCCATGTATGAAAAACTCTTTCAAACAAAACCTTCACACTCTATACAGACAAATTAATCCACACAGGACTTGCTGAAAAACAAACCAAACAACCCCTGAAGGACAAAAATGCATTTTTGGCCTTACCAAAATGGGTGGAACAAACCAAATGGTCATTGGCTCCATGGTATCCGGGTTACCGGTATATCCCAACCTCCCTAGAGGTCAAGGGTTCAACCAAAGGCGAAGACTGTGTGCGAGTATTTGTTGTATATAAATATGTACTTAAAAAGGGTGGAACCAAAATAAGGGAAATGAGACAAGATTGGTAAATTACTAAACTGCCCATCTCAAATTGAAACACTAACACATTGCACGATTCTTTCACCTGCTCACTCTAGTTCTATAGTCTTGTCTGCGTACCAAACACATACTTGATGTTCTACATTGTTAATTGCCCACCTTCCAAAATTGTTTATGAAATATTTCCTTCCTAAGCAACATCTTTTTACTTTGCTTGTGTTAAATGCCACGATCCATGTCTTGTTCAATTGATACTGAGCATAAGCAAAAAATGACGGAACAACTGTCCGACATTTGATAAGACATGACTGGACATGACAAACCAGATAAAATAACCAATTTACCCCTAATAAGTTGTTTATATATTTTTGATTAGCTTATCTAATTTATTAAATTATAATAGAATAAATATTTTTATAACAAAATATGTTATTAGAAAGTTTTCATCAAGATAATTAAAATGACCCCAAATAAAAATTAGTTTCCAGTTTTTATTTATACTTTTTCTATATTATTATTTAATAAATTATATAAATTAATCAAAGTATAGAAACCATATAATAATAATATTTTGAGGATATTAAAGTGAATTAATAAAATTTAAAAAATGAATAAAATGTAAAGAGGGTGGCATATTTGAGGTTTTAGAAGAGAATTATGTTTTATTTTGAGGTTATATGGCTAAAATATGGGTCTGTTCCAATTTGTTCCATGGGTGGGGGCGGAACATGCCTGTTCCACTTTGTTCCACTCTGTCCCTGTCTGTTCCACATAAGTGTCCTGCTAAACGTGGAACAGTGATCCCTGCTTCTCTTCTGTCCGGTGTACCAAACACACCCCTAGGGAAGCAAGTTACATGTATGTTCTGTTACTTATCGAAAATTGGATTGGGTTTTTGTTCAGGATTCAAACAGGTTAGAGTACCTGATTCCCAAAAAGACGTCCTTAAGGCATCGATTACCGATGGGTGACCAAGGGTTCATAGACTTCGTCTCCCATCTGCTTGAAATCAACCCGAAGAAACGACCTTCAGCCACAGAAGCTTTGAAGCACCCATGGCTATCATACCCTTATGAACCAATTTCGTCTTGAAACAACCCAAGACTCACTCGGATGATAATTACAAAAATACCCTTTTGGTCGTTGGGTTTTCGGAATGCTTAAAGAGATGCGTGGAAGGAGTTGGATCGAAAAACGGCTTACCAATTCTTGCCAAATTGTATTTATATTTTTGCATAACCACGACTGTGGTCTTGAAAGGAGCTTGTATCTTTAGGGTTTATCTTCTTGTACATATGATCATGTGATGCTACTATCTGTTTAGGGTCATTTTGGTAATTAGTTGGCTTAGTGAAATAGCATTTTAACCAAATTTTGGGTTGGCTTTGTTTGATTCATGTAGTGAAAACCAAAATGGAATGGTATTGTCCTTTTGTCAACTGAGCTACACCATCAGAGACAATTTAAACTAGTTGAATTTGAATCCAATCAAATTGAAGACTAATTTGCATTGCCGTTTTTCATCAAGTCAGAACAATTTCGTTTCTTATTCCACGTTCACTCAAGACCGGTAATGGTTAAGGGTAAATCTGTTACTGGTTATTTTTCGAATGGTTGGATATAGGTATTACTGGTAAAGTAATATCTGGGGGGTAATCATAGATGTTTGAGGACTATGTGAGATCAAATATCTCGGTGGTGGCAAGTAATATCTGGTGGTAATGATGGTGGTGGACGATCACACTGGTTGGAATACTGACCTAAATATACAAAATTCTCTAAAACTTGATGTTGAGAGAGATAAATGGTTATTTTATTCAGTTCCACCAATAAGATTGAACTATTATTCTTTCATAAAAAGTTTTTTCAAAAAAAACTGTATTGTGACAGTGACGATAAATCAAAAAGTATTATAATAGTACTAGAAAGGTACTCGCACAATGCATGCATGCAGCGAGATACATATTGATTTTAATGTTTCATTTTTTTGTCTCATTTGATGTTATAATGCACTTTTATGTGGTTTTGAGAAAACGATAATGTTTTTATTTTTGAATAAATCTAAATATGAAGATATATCATTCAAAATTGAAAAATATTGATATTAATACCAAACTCACTATTTAAAATTCTATTTTTTTTTTGTGTATTTTTTTAATTCATTTTCTTTGTTTAGTAATATAATTTTTATAAATATAATAATTAAGTATTTTGTTAAAATGCAATGATTATCTTAATTATATTTCAGATTTTTTATGTTTAAAATGAGATGATTATCCTTTATTTGATTATGTTTATCTGCAGTTAGTTACACAAATTCAAACATGAAACTTTAATAAATTGTACTTACGCACAATTTACTTGTAATCTTGAATTTTAGGTAATATGCATAAATAAACATTACTTCATGCATAAAAAAATGGGTTTTAAGAGTTTTTGTCAAATGTTTTATAATATAGTATAGATAATTTATGTTACAAGGCCTAAAATAGAAAATCTATTGAAGTTAAATGTAATTCTTTTCAAAAAAATTTAAGTTCTGATTATCTATTTCAGAAAAATTATAGAAAAGTTGTTGGAGATACTCAAATTTCAATTTCTTTATTTAGAGATTCCTCTAAATTTAAACATTTTTACACGAACAGATTGCATGAAAAAGTAACATACTTTAACTTGATTTATATTTTGGATAACGTACTTTCTAATCTTTCATTTTGGTACCTAAGATGCAAAGTTTTAAACATTTAAGTACCCAGGTAACGGTTGAAGCATTAACCGGATTATATTAAAATATCCATGTCAGCAAATAACACTGAATTAGATACCATATCACTCGCCACATCAACATGGTTACCGGATATGTTTCAACCGGTTACCCGGGTACTTAAATGTTTAAAATTTTATATATTAGGTACCAAAATAAAAGGTTTGAAAATACGTTACTCAAAACAAAAATCAAGTTAAAGTACGTTATTTTTTACATACTAAACCCTTAAAGTACGTTATTTTTTCATACAATTTACTTTTTTTTAATATTTTTTTTTATATTTTAACATACAAAATAACATAATTACTAAAATAAAAAATATATAAAAATTATTTTTTCTTTTATTTTAACATAGCTGTTAGTCATATTATTTATTTATTTACAATGAATAAATGGCTGTGTAAGAGTTGCTGAATGGTTTGGTGCAGAATAATTAAGTGGTCAGAACGAATAAAAGACTCTTATAATATAATAGTAGAAAAGTACTCGCGCAATGTAGCGAGACACATCTCGATTTTAATGTTCTATTTTATTATTTGTCTATGTCGATGTTATAATACGATTTTATGTGTTTTTAAGAAAACAATGATTTTATTTTTGAAGATATCATAAAAATTTGAAAAAAATATATAAATGTTAATATTAAATGAACTATTTAAAAGTTTTATTTTTTTATGTAATTTCTTATATTTTTTATTATAATTTAATTTAAATTTAATAATGAAATAATTTACTTTTGGTTTAATATTATAAATTTTATAAAAATAATAATTAAGTATTCTCTTAAAATTCAATAATTACCCTAATTATATTTTAGATTTTTTAAATTTAAAATGAGATATTTATCCTGTATTTGATTATGTTTATCTGTAGTTAGTTACACGAATTAAGATATAGAGCTTTAATAAGTTGTACTTTACGCACAATCTACTTGCATTTTTAAGTTTTAAGTAATATGCATTAATAAACAATACTTTATGTATAAAAAATGATTTTTAAAAGTTTTTATCAAATGTTTGAATATGCATCAATAAACAATACTTCGTGCATAAAAAATTGTTTTTAAGAGTTTTTATCAAATGTTTGATAATATAATATAGATAAAAAAAAATATAATTATTTATGACATAACAATTCATAAACTTTACACTTTTTATTACAAATGGGGAATTATTCACAAAGATCTTGGAGAAGATCTCAGAAACCCACCCGCCTGCACCACAACCACTCTGCGCCTTTTTCCTCCATACTCTTCTCTACTGAAGGTAGCTTCTTCATCTCTGCCTCTTTTCTCCATTGGTGAAGCCGGCCGCCGGCCGCCATTGACGATTCCTCCTTTTTGTTCGGAGGCGGAGCAACGGATTCAGCGGTGGAGTACGATTGTTGGATTCGGAATTTGGTTGCTTGGAGCAACCTAAGTTCCGGAATTCCTACTCAAACTGAGAAATAAGATTAGATGGAGGGAAACATTTCTCTCGATCAATTCTTATCTTCTATTTCGTCTGCTTTTGTTTTTTGTTGTTTTTATCATTTAGATCAACTTCTGGTATTCGTTTTTGAAAACGACACAAACTTTTTGTTTTTCTCATGTACAACAATGTATTGCCATGGTTAGATTATGTAACGATTTCGAATAATTTTTCTTGGTTTTGCTTTGGATTTGTAATTGTTTCGTGTTAGCATTTTTCAAATTGATATGCAATTTGTAGAAAAAAACATGGGAGATTAAAGTGATTGAGAACTGTACTGAGAACTACTAAATAACTGGAAGCCTATAATCGTATTCTCTGGTTCCATCTTCTTCACCTTTTTAGAGCTTTTACTTGCAGATCAACATCATTCCTGGTGCCCCCTCATCATTCAATCAGTTAATTTCTCAGGTTGGTGTTTTTTTCTTCATATATTTGTGTAAAATATGATATCATTGTTATCCTTGTGTGATTGTGTAATTGCTTATTCCACAATGAACATAAGAGATTCTTCAATCGACTGAATATCTTCAACTCATAAAGTAAACAATCCCTGCCTTTTGTTCTGGGTCGATACTAGCAACTTAATATTTAAAGAAAATTGGCAAAACATTTGTGTTTTCTGCTTTGGAAGCGAATGGTTGACCATTTTCTTTTATTAAAATATGATTATCTATGCTATTTTTGTATCAGCTTTTTAATAGTATCACATATATATGATTTATATGTGTTTTCTATAATTGGCAGGTTCTAAAAGCTAAGTTGGGGGTAACCCAATGGGATATATAGGTGTTCATGGCATTAATGCACTGCACAGATACAAGTACAGTGGAGTTGATCACTCTTATCTTGCAAAATATGTGCTACAACCATTTTGGACTCGTTTTGTTACTTTCTTCCCTCTTTGGATGCCGTAAGTATTGTTCAATTCTTTCTCTTCATATAACATACTTATGGATGATCCTCTAGTTATTTACAAATAAACATATTACTTAGCATGCGTGTGTGCTGATACAAATCTATTCTTTTGTTGATGAGAACTATATCATACATATGTGAAGTAATTTATGAAGTACTTGCAGTTGAAGTTCTATTCCGTTCTGTGACATTTCAGTGAATTACAATCTTCCAAGATATTATATAATTGCAGATAAAGTTCTATTCCGTTTTGTGACATTTCAATGAATTACAATCTTCCAAGATATTGTAGCTCTTTTAAGCAAGCTTATTTTTTCTATTAGAGGTTCAATAGAGTTGATGTTGCAGCTAGAAACTATCTCATTGGACTTCGGCTGCACAAACCAAGTGCCCACAGTCTTTGAGGAGTTGCCATGAACAGCACACAATCTTATTATCTTCAAATTCCTTCCTCTTCCATGGCTTTATCATTTCAGTAGTACTGTTGATTTCTTGTTGCAAGATAGGTCAATTAAAATAGTGCGCCTTTCTCACAAATTTTAGAGAACAAGGAGACTGTTGATTGTGTGAATTATGTGTGCACTTGCATGAAGTTGTGACAACAACGCTTACTTTTATCTGTGAAGAGAACTCAAATGGGTATAGTTATTTATTTATTTATTATTCCTTGTTCAGACCCCTCCCTAGTGGCATTCTTTCCACAAGAAAGGTTGCACACAAATGGTTATAGTTATTTATTATTAGTTGTTTCTCTTGCAATCTTGAGAGAACAAGGAGTAAGCGTATAAGGGAATTGTAATTGGTATAGTTAATTGTTTTTCAATTTTACTTCTTTGGCTGCAAAGCTGAAACTGATTGCTTGTTAATATATTCTAAACAGAAGCTTGGCATTACAAATAAGCATCGGGTTAAGAGTTAAACAAAAAGCTTGACTTTCCATGGGTTTGGGATTTGCATATAGATTGGCATGTCTGATACAGATTCTTTTGTGTTGTTTCTTGTTTACTTCTCACCATGGTTGTAGATTGAGGATCGAAAGTGAATAGAAATTGGAATAGAATATCATGTATGTCAGGTAAAAGTATGCGAAGCCTAAACGTGTAGAAGACATAATTTTGGAAGCATACTGTATCCCACTGAATAAGCATCTAGTGACATGGCTGAACGCTTAGGAACATGCTTTGTGGAATATATTGGGTTGGATTTTTTTTTTTTTTGGGGGGGGGGGACACTCTAATTGGAGGCTCCTGATCATAAGTAAGCATGAGGCTAAAACAAATACAAAAAGCTTGATTTTCCTTGGTTTGGGATTGCTTATAGATGGTTGTATGAACAGTTTCATACATAGGTACACATAGGCTTTACGTGGGATATTTTTGGGTTATAATGAACGAAACTGATAAGGAAGAGTACCTTGTGCATTTTAGTATCCAGACAGATTACATGGGCCATAGATTCTTATTTCTAGTAATGGGGTTGTTTTATGGTATTACTGTCTCTATAGCCTTGAGAATTGCAGTTAACCCAACAGCAGTCTTAAAGAAAGAATGATATTGAAGTCACTCTATTTGAGACTAGTGACTTTTTTAAAGTGTCCAGGTCACTAACATTATTTTGGGGATATTAACCTTGAACCTTTCCTAGTCAATCAGGACAGTAAATTGTAAGAATTTAATTATGGGAGACCCTTCTGTTTGTGTTGAATTGTGAGACAACGAATCATGAAATTGTGATATTTTGATTCCAGTTAAGCATAGCCAACTGCTTTAGTTTGTAACACTTCCTCTCCTCCCCCCTCTTCATGTTTCTATATTGTGTTTTAAATCATTTGTGACTGTCACTAATAGTCTTTCTCTTCTTGTTGCATGTCGTGGATGCTTTAGACCCAATATGGTAAAATGCCTTTATAACTATCTTGCGTTGTCATATAACCTGAACCATTTTTTCATGTCTTGTATTCTTACACAGATTTCTATTTTCAGATTACACTAACAGGATTCATGTTCTTGCTCATCTCTGCATCGCTTGGCTATGTGAGTGCAAGATTCTGTAACTCTTTACACGAAGTCCTAACTACTGTGCATTTGGTGTCCTCATGTACACCATGTCGTCTTGTTGAATTATTTCTATGCTTTGTCTTCCTTCACTTATGAAAGTTCTCATTTCTATCTCTTGTCTATGAGTTTTAGCACGTATTGTATGTTTGGTGATCTTTCCATAAAAAGGAATTCCTCTTGCAGAATAATCTGAATTGGCATACTGCATATGGTAAAAAAGTAGTTGGTTTCCATTTTTTTTTACCCTGGCACTACTATCTATATGATTGAACTTCTACACCCTCTAGGCAACTATATCATGAGGATCTACACATAGCACACCGTCACACGTCACCTAATCTCAGCACATACCCATCAGAAAACTTTTGGTCCAATAAATATTGCATCAACAGATCAATATTTGGCTACCTTCCATTTTTACATCAGCCCTTAGAGCTGGAGTATTTAGATGCATGCATCTGGTTCTTATTGCCTGTCTAATCTGTTTTAACATACGAAAATTTTGATCCTGGAAATCTCTTTCCCCTCCCAAACCCAACTTTTGAATGGATATATTAGGTTCATTTGGTTTGGTTTTATCCATGCAATCTCAAACCTCTTAGTATAGCACCAGCAAGCATAGTGGAGTCAGATTTGCATGTATCAGAAAATAGGCATATCTAGATGATAATGTGACACTGTTGCACCAAGGCTTCTTGACCTTGCAAGAGCTGCAGAAATATGCGAGTGTAATTGTAAAATGTTGTAATTGTAATTATAAAGTGTTCACAAAAAGTGACTTTGTAATTGTAATTGTGGTAGCAAAATGTTTACTAAATGTTGTAGCAAGTTATCCATTGTCCTGTAATTGTTGTCAACTGAAACTAACCATCACCTAAGTTGATATGGTCTAATTGGGTCATATCCTTATAGGATTTCCTATCAATGTACGTTATTAACATAAAGAAAGTATTGTAACCTTCCTAATTTGCTTTCAACTGTTCACAAAAAAAGGCATTTTGTTCTTATCTTCTGTGTTTCTTACTAACTTCTATTTTATGTCTGAGCATGTTTAGATATATTCACCTCAATTGGATTCTCCGCCTCCAAGATGGGTTCATTTTGCTCATGGATTACTCCTCTTCTTGTACCAGGTTTGTTTACCATTATGAAGTGATGATTTTGGGTGTTTGGATTGTTTACTATGGTCGTGTTTGGTACATGGGATGGGATAGGCTTGGACAGGAGAAAAAGGTTTTGTCTCACATTTGGCACAACAGAGGCTTGAGATAAGGTGGGACAAAATTGGCATTCTTTTTCTCACTGTAAAGGGTGGGGCAAAATCGACCAAAGTGAGCTATTTTACCAAAAGATGATTTTGGCTTCATCAAAACTTCTTTTCGAACTTGTATGTTTTTTATGCTGCTGAATGAGATGGTAAAAATATGATATATCCATATATATTAAAAAGAAATTATTTATAAATATTTACTTGATATGTGTCATTTCTTACCTGTGCTATGTGAAAATGCATATTGCTTCCTCTCTGACTAGCTCTCAGATTACTGATTGTGGAATGTCTGAACCTGGCATGCAGAAGAGCGGGGACCAGAGATTTCTAAGCTCATAAAAGTTTTGTTTGAATTTAGACATCTTGCATTACTTTTCTTGAAAAATGTTTATTTGATCTTGACACAAAATCATATATCGAGTCTCTAGGCATTCATTCGGGTGTTATTTTTTAATTGATTTTTTTTTCTTTCAAATTTCTCTATCTTCATGCTAGACATTCGATGCTGTTGATGGAAAGCAAGCTAGAAGGACCAACTCTTCTAGTCCATTGGGAGAACTATTTGATCATGGTGATTAATATTAATTCCTCGCCACTGCTACTCATTCTGTACCCCTAATCCCCTTATACTCCATCTCTGTGATTATGTGCCGAAATATGTCAATTTATGGCCTTTCCTAATTTCTGCAGGATGTGATGCACTTGCATGTGCGGTATGTCTTCTTTGTTTCTCAAGTCTGTTTTGCAGCTGCAACTGTCATTGTCCAATTGTACTTTATTTATGCATGGCTCAGTTGGAAGCATTGGCCTTTGGGAGCACTGCTATGTGCGGAAGATACACATTTTGGTTCTGGGTGATTTCAGCTGTTCCATTCTATGGTGCAACTTGGGAACAGTAAGTAGCCCAAGTAATTGTTTTGTTTCTGTAGTACAAATTTATTCAACATATATCTTTAAAAAATTTGTCTTCCCCATATCACTTGAATAAGGTTGTTTTTTCACCCTCTAACATTCTTAAATGAGCTCCATAAAAGAAATAACAGCATCAGTCCTGCGCTCGTCATATTTTCACTTGTCTGTTATTTCATTTGTTTCTCCCAGTATGCATCTTTCATTGAAGGAATGGGGCAAAACCGGCAAAGGATTATACATTTTTGCATGGGTCACATAATGTACACTTTCTGTTGTTTGCATTCTTTTTATGGGAGGGTGGATTTTCTTTCTTATTAAATGCTAAACTTGATCACTGTCTTTAGTTTGAATATAAATTGCTGTATTATTTAATCTTATTTGTTTGAAAGTATGGTGAAGTTAATTTTATGTTGCAGTTACTTTACCAACACGTTAATCCTTCCGGCAGTAAATGGACCTACAGAGGGTCTCATGCTGATATACATGGCACATTTCTTTACAGCTATAGTTGGTATGCAACTTTTTCACCTATAACATATGCCATTCTGTCCTGTAACAAATTTGATTCATATGTACATTTGAATGGTCATTAAGTGTTGCATCATTGGATCATTTCAATTCCAGGTGCAGAGTGGTGGGCCCAAGATATCCGGAAGTCTATTCCGCTGCTGAGTTGGGTTCCATTAGTAGATGGTACAGCTCTCTCTCTCTCTCTCTCTCTCTCTCTTTTTGTTAGAGGAACTCCTATTCTTGTTTAGCTATGATGGCATTTTGGATTCTATGAATATTTCATCTTGTAAACCAAAAACGAGTATCTTTACATTGACGTTGGATGTATCATCCACTATTAGCATGTTGCTAGTGCCGGATTGGGATCAATCCAATCTTCGCTCACAAAAGTTGGTGTAATTTGTGGGCTTTGAGTTTCCAGCACCTGATGGAGCTTCTTATGTAAGCTTTTGGCAAAGGGGAGTAATTCTAGTCTAGGATGAGTTGGGGGCTTCTAGTGCCAATACTATAACATTGGGAGAAGTGGAAGGAATAACGGATTAGTCCTATTTGTCATTATTTTTATGGCTGGATGATTCATTTATGCTACCCTTTGACATGTTTAAATATGGCCAACATTTTTGTTGGCTTAGCTTGTTCTCTGCATTCTCCTTATCATTTCGAATTGCATATCTCATATATTCTTTTCGGCCTATTCCAAGCTTTCCTTACGTAAAGAGCTTAGGGCCCATTTGTTAGCAGTTTAATGAGCTTAATGGACTCACAACTTATTTGGTCAGCTATATATGATTGTTTGGTAATGACTTAATGATATAGAAAATGGCTTATTCGGTAAGCATTTAGGAGGAAGCTTTATGAAGAAAGGCAAGTTTTTTCTAAACCTGTCTCTCTCAATTTATAAATACGCTCCTTTTATCTATGAGAAAACCATTCCAAACAAAAACCTTCTGAATCTATACAGACAGATTAATCCACACAGACAACTTTATCCATAGAGGACTTGATGGAAAACTAACCAAACATCCCCTTAGTTGAGTTAAGTTGAGCTGATTTCTAACAAAAAAAAAAATAAACTCCACATTTACATTTTTTTGTTATGCTAAATGGAAGTCATCCATTTTGGTGAGTGCTTTTAAGGCAGACTGCTGATTTTAGCTTTTTATGGACCTTTGTGTATATGCTTGGTTTCTCTTGCGTAATTGCTAAATACTATTTTTCTTATGGCTTTTGCAAAGTGTCTTTCCTTTTATCACTTGTATCTTGGTGGATGTGAATGTGCGTCATGTAGGAGATCGGGATTTTACAGGGTCCGTTCTGATCTTGATCAATTATAAGAACGTCACATGATTATAACATGTCTGAGGAGAATTGATCTTGCTCAATTGAAAAATTAAGGAATATCATGTCTACGACTTAATTACAGATAGAGCATATATTCTACAAGGAACTTGATTTCATATTTTGCTTCTTGATTTGATCTTGCATATCATTAAATTCAGGAATCCCAACATATGGAGCAGTTTTGTTTTGTATGATAGTTTTTGCCGTTATACCGACAATCACATTCAAGTAAGCAATCCTTTTCATTTTAGAGCAAATTTACTCTTCCTTTACCATATTGCATATCTGTACCACTTATATGAATTATAAACTTCCTGATTTACACATGGAAAGTTGAAATTTTTGGCCCATAAAGAGAAAAATAAGAACCTGAATTTGGCAGCAGAATCAGCTGCCAATATATGTTGTCTTATAAGTTGAAATGTATCTGTGACAGTATTTTGGTGAAGTTGAAACTCTATATCTTGCATATAAATGATGATTTACAGAAAAAACCATTAGTTGCAGAGGCGAACCCACTCTATACCATACAGTGGCACGGGCCACCGCTTTATTCCTCCGTCGCAGTGTAAAAAATTACGGAGTCGTGAAAGGTGTCACCGTATCATTTTGTTTTGTGCAACCATATATATCTTGAAACTACAATGATGGCACAAATTTCTCCTGGTAGAGTTGGTTTGTATGGCTTTTCTCCTACCCCAGGTGTGGGTTCGAATCTTGTTTGGGTCATTTTCTTAGTTTTTAATTTTAATTTCAGATTTATTATGTTTCAGAAAAAAATTGCAATAAAAGACTCGAACACAAGGCCTCACATACAAAAATTAAGGCACTAACCAACAGACCAATGATGATTTTTTGAAAAATATCCATATCTTGGTTTCTTATAGTTCAATGGTGCTATCACTTGAAAAAATTCCTAGGTCCGCCTCTGATTAGTTGAACCTAATATTCTACACTTGCTTTATTAGTTTCGTTTTAATCCATACCGAAGATGATTTTTGGCAGTCATGAACTTTTATATAGTCCTTACTTAAACTTGCTATTTTTTTTTCTTGCTTCCAGTGTGCAGAATGTTTACAAGGTTGTACGCTTGAGACATGGAAGCATGCTGAAGGCCTTGGCTATGGTAATCACATTTCTTTGTCAATCACATGGTTATTTCTTGATTCTTAAGATTCTTATTGGACATTCTTTGACTTTCCATGCCAGCTTGTCCCTTTTGGTGTACTATTGGGAGTAGTTTTGCTATGGTATGTTCCACACTTCCTGATTCTGCTTTTCCCATCTTTGAGTATTTATTGTATCTTACTCCTTCCGTCCCAAAGAATGCAACACTTGCCTATTTTGGTTTGTGCCAACTGATGTGACGTTTCCTTTTTCTCGAAAGATTCCTCGCAAAATTACCTGTTTGACCACAAGCTTTCTCAACCTTTTCTTATTAAAAGGTATTTTAGGCTATGTTGTTAATTGCACCACTATAGCGGTGGTCAAATAGCGGTCCTGCGATTTGCGGTGCTCTTGATCGCTAAATGACCGCATTTTGAACGCAAAAAAGCAGCTGCATAATCGCTATTTGTAGATAGGCTGTTTTGCTGTTAATTTTTTTTTTGGGAGCTTTTATTTAGGACTTCCATTCGGTTTTATTTTAGTCCAACAATATCAAGTTTTCATTATTCTTATTTTTTGGACTAAAAGATATCATTATTTACTTTTTTTGGATTAGGACACCTACACTTTGACATCTTAATTTGAATAAAAGTATTCACATTGTTCAATTATTTTTATTTGGACTTGGAAATTATTATTCTTTATATATTTCTTATTGAATACATAAAATATGTTGAATTATGTATGCATATATATATATATATATATATATATTCTAATTATTATATGAACCACTATTTTTGGACCGCTATACCACTGCTTTATCATCGCGATACCTGCTGTTTTAAATCATGGTCCTGAGAAATACCGCTGTAACAGCATATATTTTAGGTATTTGATGATTTGTCAAAGACTTCTATTGAACTATGTGCCAAGTCAAAAGGTTGCTTTCTTTTGGATGGCGTATTTCTTTATCTATTCTGATGCAGAATATTCTTTCTTCTCCAGGGATTATATGTCTCCATATAATTTAATCGGGAAATATCCACATATGGTTGTTATGGGAATCGGGCAAGCATTTGGATTTCTTGTGGTAAGATTGTAGTTAATTGTATCCTTTCAATTGCGGTTCTGTTGCCTACCTCTGTCTTATTATTGATTTATGAAAAGGAAGGTCCTATAAACAACCTTTGGCTTCCGTAGTGCATTATTACATGTTATGAGCTAGTTTTATTTCCTGTGAATCACAAATGTGCTCCGACTTTAGATCATGATGTGGTGTGTAGTCGAGAAAAATGTGTTTGTATTTATTCTACCACTAATAAAACCATTTGTGGAAAATTATATTCTGACTATTAATAATCCTTCTTTGAGAATGATTTTTTACTTTTATCCCATTTGGTTTGCGGAATTCGAAGGAATTTGAAGGAATTGGAATGACAAATTCCTTTCACCAAATTCCAATACCTTTGTTTGGTTCACTTCTTGAAATGGATGGAATCCTTGAAATTTCTTTGAGTTCCACAAATTAATTAATTCTATCATTCCTTGGCATAAATGAAGCAATTGAATTCCATCCCTTTTCCAATATAACCAACACCGCCCACCTCTGCCCCCAACACGACCATGCTACTACCGTCACTATCACACCCACCACCCACTACCAATACCACTACTGTCATCATCACAACTGTCACCCCCACACCCACCAATTACCTCCAGTTCCGACCACCAATATCACCATGCCACTAATGTAAATTCCAATTCTTTTGAGAGATTCCATTGCAATTCCTACCAACCAAACTTGTGGTCAATTTCCATCAAATTCCATTTCAATTCCCTTAAAGTTGAATTCTTTTGATGAATTCCGATTCCAACAAATTCCATTCTGCAAAACAAAACGCCTCCTTAGGTTTTTTTTTAAATTGTGCTGTAAAAATCTGATTGGCTGTCAACCTTTTCAAACTTTTTTCAAAATTTCTCAGGTTTTAGAGTTTTTTTCTTCATTTTTCTGGAAAATCAAGGAGGTTTATGTGATGCTTTCTTGGGATTAAACCAATAGTAAGGCCTTCATTTAGAAATGTGGGAGACTGAGTATTCACCAAGGCCTTCATCTGTTTGCAGGGAAGGATGATATTGGCCCATTTGTGCGATGAACCAAAGGGGTTGAAAACTAGTATGTCCATGGTAAGTTTCGATTTAATATCCTTCGTTCAGAATTTTGTAACCACATTTCTTCAATACTCCCTCCGTCCTAAAATAAATGTCCATAATGAAAATGACACAGTTTTAGGAATGTGTAATTATTACACTTCTTAAATAACTAAATGACAATTTTACCCTTGATAATAGAGAGGGAAACTTTCTCCATCTCATAATTAAGGACAGAATGGGGAAGTAGAAACTTACTTTTGAAAGTGGAGACTTATTTTGAGAGAAACTAAAATTAGAAATGTGGACACTTAATTTGTGACGGAGGGAGTAGTTATATATTGTGATTTCTGTCAATAGCCTGCCTACTTTTCATAGAGAAGTTGGTTTGTGTAATGATGATTGCCATTTCATTTTTCTTGGTTACATTCCAGTCCTTGTTCTATCTCCCGCTCGCGATTGCGAATGCACTCACTGCCTGGTTAAATGATGGGTATGTGGTTATCTGACTTATAAGCATATTTTTTCCGTGTTTTGTGATAATAGATTTGGAATAATGAGGCGAATTTTATTATTTCTTAGTTCTGTTTGTTGTATCTAATGGTTAATGATATTCAAATTTGTGGCAGAATTCCCCTTGTTGATGAGAAATGGGTTCTTCTCGGTTTCTGTTTATACACAGGTATCATTATTATCATGATGATAAAAAAAATCAACTTCATTTGAATTTTCTCTTGAATATTGCTAATGAAGTTAAAAATCATCCATAGCATGATAACCAACATAAGCCTCAAATCAATTATGTTAAACCACAAATCTGACATAGGGTCTGTTTGTTAGCAGCTTGATGAGCTTAAAGAGACTCATAGCTTATTTGGTCAGCTATACATGACTGTTTGGTAGTGTCTTGGTGATGTAGAAAGTGTCTTTTTCAGTAAGCTTCTAGGGAGAGCTTTATGTAGAAAGCCATGTTTTTTTTTTTGAAAATCTCCCCCTCCCGATCAAATAACACGCTCCTTTCATCTATAAAAAAACCTTCTTAAACAAAAACCCTCCAATCTATACAGACAGATTAATCCACAACCACCCAGCCCCATATGGCACTCTATTAGCTGTCAGCCACTGAAAATGCGTGGATTCTTGTGAATCCTATGACTTTTAGCCCAGGAAGTACCCTGCCTGCAAATTTATGCATCATTTTTGGTAATTCAATGAGCAATACACATGTGAGCTTTTATTTCGGGATACGACATATGTGGAACCCCCTTAGATTACTCTACAAAAGAGCGTGGCACTATATCAAATTTGGAGAGAGAAGAAAAGAAATGGATGGAAAAGAAGGGAAGGGAAAAAAAGGAATGGAAAATATTTTTTTATTTGTGTTCTCGAAAGGGAAGGAAAGGAAAAGAAAGACAATAATTCTTCGTGTTCTTGAACAGGGGAGAAAGGAAAGATGTCATTTTTACAAATATACCCTTTAAAAATATATCCTTTATAATGAAAGGTAGGTAGTTTTGTAATTTTAATAATTTATTGAAGGGTTTTAATTTTTTCCTTTCCTTCCCTTTCCTCCCACATTTGGGAGGAAAGTTTTGAGAGGAAACTTATCATTGTTTTCCTTCCATTTCCTTTCCTTTCTCTCCTAAAAAAGGTTTCGAGAACACGATTTTTTTTTTCTTTTCTCCCTTTTCCTTTCTTTCCCTTTCCTTTCCTTTCCTTTGTAAAAGATGTTTCAAGAACACAACGTTAGGGAGAGAAAGGGTTCCTACGTATATTGAAAGGAATAGGTCTAGCTGATGTGAGACTCTTAACATGCCCCCACCAGCGGAGGCTAGATGGACACATGATCCAAAGTGTCGGTCCCTCGGTCAAAGATGTCTGAGATTGTAGACCTTGGTTCTAAAACCATATGAGATATGTGGAATCCCATCAGATTACTCTACAGAAGAGCCCTTTGGGGGTTCCTATATATGTTAAAGAGAATAGGTCCAACTCTAGCTTATGTAAAGACTCTAACATGCCCCTCCAACATAAGCTAGATGGACACATTTGTCTTAGATGATAAATCTTGGCTCTGATACTTTGTGAGATATGTGGACCCCATCAGATTACTCTCTAAAAGACCCTTAAAGAGAAAATGGGGGTTCCTGTGTATATTAAAGAGAATAGGTTCAAGTCTAGCCGGTGTAGGACTTAACACAAGATCTCTAGGTTGTTATAAATGAGTTTCAACCACTTGATCAACCCCAACTGAACAATTAATTCTAGCTTTATTTTCTATTATATTAACAAGACTAGTTACATTTTTGCATCGAGTAAGACCACTTTACCTTTCTTTTCGGTTCCTTTTAGCCTATTCAAAAGTTCCATGGACAACATCTCCCAACAAATTCTCCAAAATGGAGATCTTGACCATTTTTGCTACAACATATTCTCCAAAACCTTCTTCAAAATGGATAAAGTAGGAGTCTGTGGGAGAGAGAAATAATATTTTTATAAATTGTGTTGAAATGTAATAATATAATTAATATTCTAATATCCAAAATGAAGAAGCTATTGGAGATAGTCTTAATTTTTGTTTCGGAGATTTTGACTTTTGGTTCTTCATTTTTGAGAATCAGTTGGAGATGCTCTGATAAGCTAACTTTTTTCTCGTGGATGTCGTTATGTAACATAGTTTTACCCCCATCCTAGGTGCATTGTATAATTAATATTGTATTCTCTAAAATGGAGAAGCTGTTGGAGATTGACGTAATTTCTTTTTGGAGATTTTGGCTTTTGATTTTTCATTTTAGAGAATCTGTTGGAGATGCTCTGATAAGCTAGATTTATCTCGGTGTCATTACGTAACATAGTTTTACGCTCATCCCAGGTGCATTATATCTACACTTTGCAACAGCAGTCATCCATGAAATAACAACAGCTCTTGGAATCTATTGTTTCAGGTAAGCATTCTATTGTATTAATTTGGTTGATCAAAACCTGATATATTGATTCACCAGTCATTGCATGAAATTTGGTTGCCATTCATCCAAACATCTGCTCAAAGACATGTCCTTATCATGTGGGGACCTCCCAAAGTGTATGTCCCTGCCCCGACTAATCCGTGACGGGTTTCAGGGGAAGGAATCTCGGCGGTTTCAGGGAACCCGTTGGGTACCTGTTTAGTAAAAAACAGTAAAAACAGTGTATTTTAGAGTCAAAATTATAATAAATCGTCACTACATTAATTACCAATAACGAAAATCAAATATATTCGTCATCTAATAACAAATGCATACTTACATATATACATATATCTGGACCTTGATCACCTTTATTCTCAAACCCGTCCCTGGATCGTGCTTGATACGGGGATTAATCCGGTGCATTTCATCCTAATGTCGGTGGATATCCCTTCTTATGCTTCTCACCCTAACTCTCCTTACCGGAACCAAACCCTATATGTATATCTATACACTACACTATATACATATATTAAATAAAATAAAGAATTTAAACGGGTTTGGATTAGGGGCGAGTAATGCCATCCCCAATCCCACCCCGATCCCGCTTCGGGTATGAAAACAAATTCCCATCCCCATCCCCATCCCCATCCCGTTACCCGTCAAAGCAAGGAATATCCGCCCTATTAGGGTCGGGTAGGGTAAAATTTCCATTTCTAGTCTTAAAGCACCGACTAGATGCTTGCTGCATAAGGGTTGGCTGAGTTCTGGTGACAACCCTTTTTGCGCGAACATGTGAAAAAGTGAATATATCATTATATTACCTGAAAGTTTGTTGTGAGAACTGTGGAGATCCCTTTATATTGTGTTAAGGTTTGTTGCGAGAAGCCGAGAACTGTGAAGATGTTTTTATATTATGTGGAGGTTTGTAATGAGAAGTGTGAAGATATCTCTATACTGTGTGAAGGTTACAACATTCACACAACATAATTTAGAGTGAACTACACTTTTTGTCCCCGTGTTTGTAAAAAATAGCAAATTTTGTCCTTGTGGTTTTGAAATTTGCGGTTTTCATCCCTATGGTTTGCGATTCATTGCTATTTTCGTCCTTAAGGCTAACTTCTACGTTTAAGTATGAGGGACTAAAGTAGCAATGTATTGTAAATCACATGGACGAAAACATCAATAAGTTTTAAATCATAAGAGGACGAAAAAACAATTGAGTTGTAAACCATAGGGTTGAAAATCATAGGGACGAAAATAGTAAGTTTCAACAAACCACAGGGACAAAAATGTAATTTACTCTATAATTTAACCTTCCAATACACATTTGAAAGTGACGTGAAAGTTACAATATTCATACAATATAACCCGAAAGTGAATTTCTCGCATGACCCTGACTATTGCACAAATTACATGCATGGAGAGCCGATATGTGCTCATCTCTTGATTCTTCGGCTGCTAATTTTTACGTAAATTTATCAGGATTACAAGAAAAGAAGCTTGAGATATTTATATGAAGGTATGCATTGTAACCCTTAAATATCGTTATTTTAAGTCGCAATTTCCGACCAACTTTTGCTACCCGACGTGGTGTCGGGTTCTATTCTTTTCTTGGAAAATATTACATTTAGCCGGCATTCTTTTTTCCTTTGCGTCTCATTTGTGGGTCAACGTTGTACTTTTAAATGCATTGTAAGGTTGGATATACTTTCTTTAATGCGTGCTTTTGGGTTCGGTACCATGACACAATTATCAGGGGCATGCTCTAACCACTGAGCTAATAGCCCGTCGTGCGAGCCCCCCATTGGGGGCAAGGTTCTTCGTTTTGTATCGAATTAAACCACATGCTCCACCGCTTGTGATAGAGATTTTAGATGGAGAGTTTTGATGATCAACTCAAAAACGAGATTGAAATGGAATTATTATCAAATTTTATGTAATGATATATTTATTTATATAATAAGTTACCATCTTTGCTTATTTTATTGGATAACATTCTTTGCTTAATGGATTGTTGGTAACTGTCTTTTACTTGATGAGTGTTAACCGGGTGAGATTATTGGTCTTTGTTATGCTTTTTAATAGCTGATACGAGTCCTTGTTATGCTCATGTGGTAAGGTAGTGACACTCGGTAAGCGTTTTTCCAATAAGAGTAAAATAGGAATCATAAGTAGTTAATAACCCTCCTTTCAGAGCTTATGTTTATTAAGAATCTCTGTGAAAAACGGTTTCCAATTTTAAATTAAGAGGTTGTTTACCAAATGCTTACCGAGTAAGTATTTACCGGCAACAAACATCATTGTCATTTACCTTATTGTGTAACATTTTCGTCCTTCAAAATGAGTTGTTAGTATACATCTTAAATTCGGTTAGCGTCTACCGCGTAAGAGTATTTTCCCTCGGTTACTAGGTAAGATTCTCAATTCTTGCTATGTCTTTTATCGAGTAAGGGCTGTTTGGCAGTTGCTGAATGGTTTGCTACAAGATGATTAAGAAGCTTATGATTTAGTGTAAAATGAAATATAATTGTTTGGTAATTATTTACAATGAAATTAGGGGGTCGAATGGTTAAGGGAGGCTCAAGATACAAAATCATTCAGAGGGTTTTAGAACCAYTAAGAGACATATTTTTTTTTTGTCAAACAAGATTCACCTCTTAATGATTCAGATGATGCCTTTCAGTGGAACTATTAAGAGGTAAACAAACAACCCCTAAGATTATTGGCCAGTGTCATTCTCAATCAGCAAGGTAAGTGATACCAGTAAACGCTTATTCGGTAAGTGTTTGATAAGCATTGTTTTAGTGTCATTTTATTAACCTGTACATCTACATGTTAAGTCAAGAACACATTAATTTTCTTTGATTCCATTATTTTTATAAGATTTTTTTTAGTATAACAGTTTTTCAAAATCTCATCGAAATCCTTCCCAACGGAGAAACTTCCTCATATCCTTATCAACGTCATATGGGTGTTCGTCACAAATATCCCTTATTCGACTTGACGGACTCTTTGGTTTCGACCATCTCTAGACTCGCGTTTGTATCCTTGTTCGCATCAGTTATCCATGAAATCGTCTTAAATAACAACTCAGCTCAAAACGATCCAAACTCTAGTATGATATGAGAACAACTCAATTGTTGGAAATATTGTCGAGTTTCTTTTGATACAACCGAATCAAAACGTATAAGCTTATCTGAATACCTCAATCATTACGCTTACTTCATAAATACGTCTTATTATTATGGACAACAAATAAGATTAACATCAAAATGTACTTATCGGATGCAAAGAGAGGGTTAAAATCGTCCATTTCTATTAGAGCGAGACATGATAAAACAAAAAATATTATCTCACGTCTGAGACTATATTAGACCGGAACAAAAACAAAATTTCCCGCACCAAAAATGCATGAAATAGAAATACGGGTGGGCTTAATGCAACCATATATATTGCTAAATGCACTCCTACCTAGTAATTTTTTTATTACACACATTAACATCAAAACTTAATTTTTACATTTTCAACGTATAAATTGACTTGATTTTAACGTTGAATGCATATAACAATCCCCTGGAAATAAGGTAGATGAGACAAAATTGAGTAATTAGTAAATTACACATGTTGCGAAAGAATTATACTTTTCTCGACTGACTTGACAAATCCCTCTCTGGCGTCATCTACTGGCTGACTGCTGCTGATTTCCCTGCATCCACTCTCTGGTTTCACTGATCGAACAACGCGGTTTAATTAAAGGGAAATTGAAATAACCAATCTTCCCAATTAAATTCAATTTTTAGTAACTTTTGGAACTAAATTCTCATTTTAGTCAGAGTTTACATAAAATACTTTACTGAAATAGAAATTTGATTTATAAAATAATAAAAAAGACAAATTTGTTGCAAAGATTGTTCGATTAAAGACAAATTGCATGAAAAAGTAACGTACTTTAACGTGATTACTGTTTTGAATAACGTACTTTCAGAACTTCAATTTTAGTACCTAAGATGTAAAATTTTAAACATTTAAGTACACGGGTAACCGATTATCATGTTGATGTGGCGAGTGATTTGATATCCAACTTAGTATTATTTGTTGACGTTGTTAGAGACATGCATTTTTTTTAATCTAAAGTTAGTCTTTTTTTAATCTAAAATTAGGTTTTAACCAGTTAATTAAATACTTAAATGTTTAAAACTTTATATCTTAAATATCAAAATAAAATTTTTAAAAATATATTATTCAAAATAGGAATCATTTATTATTTTTTATCCTAAAATCATCCACAGTATTCTATTGTAGAAGGTGCAGTATGACGTGGAATGGGTCCTATTGTTGGACTTGTGACCCACATACGATATTCGAACTCCGATTCATATATCACTTTCTCAGGTCACTCCGTTTCAATTACAGGCAACTCCTCGCCGGAAAAACAAACTCTTCGACAATCCATGGCCACTTCCGGCGCCGGTGCCGCCTTTTCCTCGTCTTCTTTCGATATCCGTGGTGATTCTTCGGCTAGACTATCCGGTTTTGAATTTTTATTTTCTACTACTCGTCAACTCTCTCCGTTCAAGTTGTCTTCACTTCACCTCGCTTTCTCTCCGCGTGGATCATCTCATTTTGTTAGAAAGTAAGTCTAGTAATTTGGAAATGATAAACGAAATTTGATGTTTCGATGCTTGATCTTCAGAGATTTTGATTGGTTTGATGTTTTGATCTATGAATGAACTTAAAGTATTATCATGTTAATCATGGAGTGCATGTGGTTTAATTCATCGATGGTTAGGTTCGATTGGTTAGTTGTTAATTAGTTTTTTGAATTATTTTGCTAAGTAGGGGGGTTTCTGCAAGGAAGTCCGTATGGTTCCTGTACTTTAGGCAAAGTCAAAGTGGAAGAGGTGAAAAGATCAAATTGACCTAATCAGGATAATTATTTCTGACAATATGTTTGCTGTCAATAATATTGTTCTTAAGCAGACACTTTTTCTTCATAGAAGGTCAACAACATTGTTAATATTAGTGGATGATAGGTGTGATATCATACTTGCATTTAATCCTGGTTTGCCATATGTCTGTACCAGTTTGGGAGTAAAAGATACAGTTTTGACCTTTGAGGCTAAGGCTATTATAGATTTTGTTAGTGTTAGTACCAACCATAACAGGTACAAATTTGTTCTCCATTCCACTCACATAATTTACAATTCTGATTATATGGGATGGTACAAGAGCTGACATGATGATAGCAATATGCAATCTACTCAATACTTGGCATACATTTGTGGTAGTTTTGAGTTGATAATCGGGTCATTTAACTTTGAACCTGTTCTGATTGAACTGGTTACTGGCTCTTTACCTTTCACATAATTTAACAGAAAAGTATAGTCAAGTTCTATAAGTCAGATGTTTTAGTATAAATTATTAGTTGCGAATAGTGTTTAGTACTTATTGAACTATCATGCAGGAACATTTTTCAAGCTTCAATTGATGGTGTGGACTCACTGGGTATAAGCTCCTTGGTCAGTGTTGGAACTCTTTCTCCTCTATTCCCCTCCTACTTAAAAACCTGAGTGTTGCAGATTTAAGGAAGCTTTGCTTTTGTATGCACATATTTTGTATCTATTCAGTTTTGGTTCTTGTATGGAATTATAGGAAAATGCTCTGATTCCCATCTTTTCTGTTCTCTTAACAAAAAGACATTTCATGCAAAAAAAGGTCTGCTAGCTGGATTGAAAAAATTAAAATTGTGGAACTGATAATTCCAATTGTCATTCAATATATATGAAGTCATTTTCTACTTGTGCTATTTTTTTTTTCTGTTATCCATATAAGTTTCAATCTTTTGTACTTATACGGAAATGACAGTCCTGACTTCAGATCCTTTATTTCAAATACGCCTTCTGTATTTAATGTAATGCCGACTCTTTTAAAAACCCATATAGGAAACAAAACACTTCCAAGGAGGATACTGATGACACATTCTTATCGACATTATCTAGCTAGGATCTAAGGCTTCAACGGAATTTGTGGTTTGTATAGACACCAAAAGAAGAATGCTCTTTAGCTATTTTGGCATAAAAAACAGCCCCTTTGAAGTTGGGTTTTGCATTATTGTGGATCACGGGGTGGTTCAATGTCAACATCAGTAGATAGGGTTCTTTGTATAATCCTTGTTTAAGATGGAATTCTAGAAGGAGCTTATCATACTACTCACTGCTCTTTTTTTACAAAAGCTTTATATGTGCCTCTTGGCAATGAAATGAAGGACATTACATCTGTTTTCCTGAATTCTCAGTTTAGCATTGGATCTGGCTTCATCAGTATTATTTGGGATTAGCACTTTTAGGGGCATCTCAAGGTCCAGACATAAGTAATGCTCAAGAAGTTATACAAACAGCAGACCTACACGATGCAAAGATACTAAGCATTCCTATTAATCCCACTGCTAGATTGAGTGCTTCTTCAGGATAATCTTTTGATGATGTATGATTATCCAGAATTTTTAGATGGCAGATCAACCTACCTTACACTGGACAGGGCCTATATCTCTCTTTTCCTGTCTTGCTTAATCAGTTTATGCAAATCACAAGGACACCCCACTATCAAATCCTTAAAGAGTCTTAAGATATGTTTCTGGTTTGAATGCCTATGACCACAGTGTTCTATCTTATTGTTTTTCAAACTATCTTTGTTGTGACTTGTGATAATTGAAAGTCTTCCAAAAAATGGCAAATGCAGTTCCATTGAAGTATATGTTGGTTTGCATATGCAGGATTTACATTTTTGAATGAGGAGTAGGTGTGTTGATTCGATCAGGCACCCAAATTAGTTGTTCTCCTAAAAACTATAGTTATTTACATTTCTAAACCTTTTTGGCTGCTCTTTTTTCTTTAAAATGTGGAAACTTCGACCTTTTGGGGATTTTTAATGTTTCTTGAAGTGATTGTGGATGTAGGATTCATTTTCTTTTTGAGGAATTTTCTTTGTACCATTCTTAAGGTTTGTCCTTTTGCAATCAAATCCAGCAAGGTAAAAACTACTGCGAAACTATTCACATTGACCATATCTATTAAGAGGGCACCGTTTTTAGGAACGATGGAAGTTGTACATGGAAATGATCTATCATCTATAATTTCTTATGCTTAGCCTGCTAAACATTTCAAGTTCTGTCTCTAGATCTCGACATTGACATCGTCTGTTGTTTCATAAATTTGAACAGGATGCTGATAATATTCCTACCCCAATTGTTTTAATTGATCAAGATTCAGATCCATCTGCAACTATTGTACAAGTTAGCTTTGGTGATCGTCTTGGTGCTCTCATTGATACGGTGAATCATTAGTTACTTTTCCAAAAGTTATACTCTTCTGTTGCTGAACCAACAACAAATTACCGTAAACTGAATGCTTTGGCATGCTAATGCAACCTTTAAGAAAACCTTAACAAGACGAAGGCCCAAATAAATAGTGGAATCTGGTTGTTGTATCTATCACTGGGTCTCAATTGAGTAATTCTACTTGCAATCCTGAGGTAATAAACTAGTTATCTTCAAAATGAACATGCAATTTTTGGTACTGTTTGGGAGATATTATTATTTTCTCTAGGTGTTAACTTTTCCAGATTCATAGGAGTCATTAGGTTTAGGACAAGTGCTCAACACGTACGAATTATAATATACTGATTCTTCATTCTTTCTGAAGGATACTTTTGAAGGGTATCTTGACTTAATTAATTATTGTAGTTCCTATGGATACATTAAGTTGACTAATATGCTTGGATTGCTGGTGCAGATGAAGGCACTGAAACATCTAGGCTTGGATGTAGCAAAAGGCACTGTCACAACTGAAGGATCAGTCACACAAACAGAATTTTTTATTACTCGATTGTGAGTATGCTTCATAAGTACCTGTGGATTTCTTCTCTCTATGTTAATTTAGTTTAATCCAAGTTTTGAAGCATTCAACCAACCTGTAAATATGGCTGGATGATACTTCAAGTTTTTAGTTTGCTTTAAATTTACGATGAGTTACTTCTCTTAGATATGTTTTTCTGGTTGATATAAAGAGGGTTGTCAAGGGTACTGGCTAGCGCTTCCACAGGGTGGTTTGCAAAGAAAGTTTCCATTTATCCCAGAACTTGACTTGGTAACTACAAACTGACTTTTCAGCCACGAGGATGTCCAGGTTGCCATCATTTGGCTGTTTCTTCTATCGAAAGGAAAGAGATAGGAATTAACTACACAAGGAACAATAGATTTTTCATTCCCAGGAGTGAAATTAGCTGAGATATGAAGTTAAGTGATTATGTATGTCGATTTTAAATTCAAAAGTGGACCATTCAGAACGACTGAATAATCCCAGAAGTGGAGTATTTTTCGGTGAAAAATATGTATGCTTGTCAACAATCTTCATCATTTGATCGAACAATGAAGCATCTATCACATTTGAATTAACTATCATTTATTCTCAATATTATACCAATATCTGCTCATTTTTGTTAATTTTATAGATCAACTGGGCGTAAAGTTGAAGATCCAGATCTCCTGGAGAGAATCAGATTGACCATCATAAACAATCTCTTGAAGTACCATCCAGTATGTATACCAGCCTATACCCTATTTCATGAACAATTAGTTCATATTTATCTAAGAATTCAATTAGTATAAACATTTGTTTTGGTTCAATATGCTCAATGCTTTCTCATTATTTATAAATGTTAAGGAGTCTAGCTCGCGACTTGCAATGGGGGAGGCTTTTGGCATACAAGCTCCTGTCAAGAAGGTAACTTATTCAACATTCATTTATATGAAAGCAACTCAATTCCTCACTTTAAGTTGTTTTTGCTCATATAATTTAAACAAAATTCATTATTTGTTCTCCTCTCTTGATTCTCTAAAGAGGTGTTATATGTTTGTGATAGTATTGTGTGATTAGGGCAAGTGATATGACACCTCTAGTAAACTTTTCAGTTGTTAGTTGCCACCTCTAGTAAGTTATCATATTTACTTACGTTGTTAGTTTGCTTACAGAGGAAGAAAGAAATTTGGTTTAGTTTTTTTATAACATAAAGCCGAGAGAAATACTCATCAGGCAGGCTGATTGGATTATGAAATGTTTGCGGGGTCTTTGGACCTGATTAGAAATCTATGGTTGCTAGGATCAATTTTCAAAAGGAATATCGATATTATTAGTTGAAATCTAATAGATTTTGCATTTCAAAGGCTGTGGAATATTTTTGAGTTCATAAGCAACCTAAGCAAAGAAGACCCAAGCAACCTAGTCATCATCTTTTGCTTTTGCACCATTAGAAAAAAATTCCTGACCGAAATGAAAAGTTCTCTTATTAATCCATCCTTCCCCAAAAGAACACAACTGTTTTCTTTTTGGGTTGTCCGAAAAAATACAACATCTCCTTGCTTGGCAAGTTTTCAATCCTGGTATGCTTTTTGCCCATTGGTAATTATTAATTGAAAATTTTACTTCTGGTCCACAAGTTTTCTTTATCTTCTCCTTGTTAAAGGGGTATTTTGGACCTTCTGTCAATAGTTAAACATTTTTCTTGACCATATGCGAAATCAAACATTGCATAATTTTGGAGACAAATGGTGTACGTTATTAATATTTTGCTGATTTGGAAGGTTTACATCTCTCCAACATGTAGTCCACCTAGGGTAAGCTACAAAATCACGATTAACCCATATCTGTTCCGGTGTGGGGCTTGATGATTATGTCAAGGTTTATAGAAACCTCCACGAACAATCGTTGTTTTTGATGGTTTTTCCGCTTCTCACAAAAAGTTGTGACTTGCCGTATACCGTGATCCATTTAGCAAAACTCAAGCCACCTGATACTGGGAAGATAGTTTAGGTTGGATGTTTTGATGGGGTTACCTTGTTGCAACTCAGAGAAAATCTCACATTTCACATAAACTGAACGGAAAATTAAGACACATTGAAATTTTTGGTAGTAGCTAAAGACTTGTACGAACTCCTTCCCCTAAATTGGCTTAAAAGAAGCTTGTGTGTGTTATATCATGCTGATTAAAGTTCTTCTTTTCTTGATGGCAGCTTGATGTTGATATTGCAACTCATATACATGTTAAGGATGACAGTCCAAAAAGGAGGTTAGCAATATGCAAATTTAAGTGAATTTTCAGATACTATATTTAAGCAAATGTTTTCCACATTGTGTAACTCCGAGTCTCCAACATGAACTGACTCACTGACATGAAGAAAGTACAAAACAGCTTCACTTATTTGCATATCAAGTTGACCAGTTTTACCAAAGGGTCATTGGCATGGGGGGACTCACATGGATAGATACGGTGGCACGGGCCACTGCTTCATAGTTCCGTCTTAAGGGGGGAAAATTACGTTTCTGAAGTATGCCATCGTATAGTTTTTTGAAACTGAAATGTTAACACAAGACTTTAATGACTAAGATGGTAAGGGTTGGGTTCCGGTGTGAATGAGAGTTATGTTGAGAAGGGTAAGAAGGGATCTCCACCCTTGGATCAATCCTAATTGAAGAGAAACACTAGATCAACACTACGGAGAAGCACCGGATCAATTCCCTACTAAAGCGCAATTCATGGGTTGGTTTGAGATTAAAAGTGATCAAGGGATCAAATCTTAAACTTATCACCTTAACTCCTATTCTCACACTATCCTTCGTCAAGATGGTAAATGCTCCTGCCTTTGTACAAAAGGCCCAGGTTCGAGTACCATAGTTGTGAAATTTGTTGTTTTTTAGCTTAAATTTTGGTGATCTTTATATACCTCTTGTGTTTCTAAAAATATATGTAGACCGGATTCCAACATGTGTCTTTTCTATGCAAGGACAAGGAACCAACCAACAGATCGATACTAATATTTTGGAAAAAATAGATATTTTTTATAGTCAAATTATGCTACCACTTGAAAAAAATTCTAGACCCGCATCTGGTCATTGTCCCAATGTTACCCGGGTTACCGGTAGAGCCCAGCCTCTAAGGAGGCCATGGTTCAAACCTCACCAAACGTGAGAAATATGCTTGAGTATTTGCCATATAAATATTGTACACTTAAAAAAAATTGGCCGAGTTTGTAATGCATTGATATGTTTGGTATATTGGTTTGCTTTAGCTTGCTCTGCATAGAGACCGAAGATAGACCTGGATTGCTCTTGGAAGTTGTGAAGATAATGGCTGATGTCAACATTACTGTTGAATCAGCAGAAATTGATACCGAGGTACGTTACTGTCTTTGTCTCCTTCACCCCCTCCCCACCCCCCCAAAATATCATCAGGATCATCGATATCATGTCTCTTGAATCACTGACTCGACCTTTGTGTTACGCTACAGGGGTTGGTTGCGAAAGATAAATTTCATGTTAGCTACAGAGGGGCAGCTTTAAACAGTTCTTTGTCTCAGGTAACCCCGAAATAATTTCATATCCAAGTATCGTTTTCTTTTCTTTTTTGGGGTTGTGGATCTTGCTATTATGGAGATGCTTTATGATATAACCAGTAAAACTATGCTGGTAAAATGACCAGATTGTCTTTACTGTGAATATGTGATTCCCTTGTTAACAAAAACACCGTCACTCAAAAGTAGATAAAAATGTTACCCTTCCACACATTTTTTGATCACATACTTAATATGCCGTCAAAATCATATCAGTTACATGGGGCAGGTTCCATTAGGAACCTGGGGACCGCCCACAGCACAACACGTGGCATATTCATCGGGAATACGGACGTGTTATTTATCATGAATATGTGTCTCATGATGAATAACACGCCCATATTCATCATGAATGTGTTATTCATGATGGAGATTCATCTTGAAGAAGGACATGTGACCCGTTATGGGTGGTTCCCGGGTTCACAACGAAAAACAAGTTTTTCAACCAAACTTTCCTCTGGTTACATTACTAGCTTGCATATAGTTTTAACATAAACCTTGAGCACTTAACATTTATGCAATATAATTTGATTAAATGGATGAAAAATAATGTAATGGTATAATTTTGAGAGTTTTTTAGGATGTTGCTGATAAAATTCTTTAGTTTACCGGGTAAGGAGGTAGGTATCCTTGTAGCATGAGTAGCGAGGCATGGGGTTCAACTCTAGACACCAGCCACTCAGACAAACGATTTACCCTTCTATGATGGCCTGGGGACCATACCCATTTATGCACCTATGGCATGCATGTATGAGGATTTGATCTCTAGGTTTTCTTGACAAATCCCAATCACCTAAATATTGTTGTACGCAGTAATTATTATACTTTTTAATTAGTTAAATGATAATTATACCCTTGATCATAGAGCGAGTAATGAATTTCTCCATCTCATAGTTAAAGGTAGAATTGGAAATTAGGCACTTATTTTGGGATATATATATATATATATATATATATAGAGAGAGAGAGAGAGAGAGAGAGAGAGAAAGAGAGAGAGACGTTTAAATACAACCCCTCTAAATTATACAACCCACCTATCCACCATTTATGATCAAATGGACGCTCCTGATTTGGTTGAAACTTGAAAGAGTTGTAGGAATGTAAAGGGTTGCATAATAACCACCTGTGTGTGTGTGTGTGTGTGTGTGTGTGTGTGTGTGTATATATATATATATCGGGTCAGGTTCAAACGTGAACCTAAACATTTGGCGAGAAGTTATATGATTACACGCTTGATACACAAGTTTAATCATATATGATTAATTACATGTAGCATCGACAACACATAGACACTTAATCATATATGATTAAACACACCCAAAGGAGTGTAATCATATATGATATTGAAACTTCTCACATTCTCGTAAAATGTTTAACTTCTCGCATAATCCTTCATTTCCCTCCCTCTCTCTCTCTCTCTCTCTCTCTATATATATATATATATATATATCATATGTTAATCAGGGTCGTTAATTATATATGTCGGCAGGTGTTGATAAATTGCCTACGCTATTACCTGAGGAAGTCGGAAACGGGTGAAGATAGTTACTAGGGAAGCAGTACTTCCAATTCTAAACGTCTTGCATATGCACAAGACTTGTATAATTCACCTGTTCAACTTGTTAATTGCCTGAAATATAACCACGTTTCATAACGAATATAACCTGAACTCTTTTGTGTAGTTCATCGGAACCGATTACACTCGTTTATGTCTCGAGAGTCAAATATTTGTCCACCAAAAAATCACTCAAAACATTGTTCTGTATGCGGTCTTTTTCTTGCATTTGCCAGAAATACAGGATGTCAATCAAAAGCCGAAAAATCCCCTCGAAATCAACCAAACCCCTTAAAAATCGCTCAAAATCAACAAAAAAAAAAAACCTTAAAAATCCCTCAAAAAGGTGGAATTAGACTAAAATCACATCGGATGGCTTTACAAGCCTTTGATCCACCCCCAAATATGTACCTGTTCAACCAAAAACCTGGATTAGTTATTATAAAGATAAGGTGGCGAAGGCGACCGTGGCGTATTGCAAAGGCCAAATAGTAATGGAGGCAAGTGGTGAAGATGGGTGTGATCATCACAACCATGCACAGAATTAGTGTCAAAATAATATTGTCGACATTTTAAATGATGGAAAATCTTATCTACTTTGAGTTCAAATCTAGGCACTGTTCAAACCTTTGTAGTCATGGAGGTTTACCTGCGATGACTCCAGAGTCCATATCATTCATGGTCCACAAGAGGAAGACATTTTTTTCATTGTTCTTTGATCACCAAAAGATTAGTCCGTACACGTAAATTTACCGAAAACCTATTTGTTTGTGGGGAAAAGTCTAAAAAAACCAAATGGACTTTAGTGTTTGGAATGATTAAGTTCTTGGATAATTTTTTGGAACAAATAAGCCCTTGGACATTTCAAAACATGTTAAATAACTCATTGGACTTTCTAAAACCTGTTAGATACATTCTTATGACCCATACAACTGGTTAATGTGGTAAAATAATGAAAAAAATCAGAAAAATAAGGCAATGGACTTTTCATATTATAAAGGATTAAGTCCCTAAATATTTTTTGAACCAAAAGAGTAGTTAAATCAATAAAAAATAAAAAAATATACCAAAAAATTACTTACATTTACGAAAAAAATACTTACATTTAAAAAAGATTATTGATAAAATTTATTCTCTCAATGATTTTTCAAACTAAAAATATTTAAAAATAATTACTAATTAAATTTATTTTAATTAAAAATAAAATATATCTCGTACATATTTTTCAAATTAAAAAAGAAAGATTTAAAAGATTACAATTTATTTTATTTGAAAATAAAAATATTTTTTATTTTTAAATAAAATAAATTTCATCAGTAATCTCTTTTGAATCTTTTTTTAATTTTTTTAATTTTTTTTTAATTTAAGATATCATATACTGAATATATTTTATTTTTAATAAAAAATATATAATCAATAATACTTTTTAAATTCTCTTTTTATTTTTTAATTTAAAAAATTACTGACAAAATATTTTTATTTTTAATCAAAATATATTTTATCAATCTTTTTTAAATGTAGGTATTTTTTTTGGTATATTTGTTTCATTTTATATATGTAAGTACTTTTTGGTTCAATTTTTTTTAAAGACTTAAATGTTGAAAATATGAAAGTTCATTGGGTTTTTTTTTTCTCCATGTTTTTCCCCTTATTTTATCACAATAATCAGTTTTATAGGTTATAAAGATGTATCTAACATGTTTTAAAAAGTCTAAGGATTTATTTAACAGGTTTTGGAATGTTTAAAAACTTATTTGTTTCAAAAAATTGTCTAAAAACTTAATCATTCTAAATACTAAAGTTCATTGAGTTTTTTTTTAGATTTTTCCCTTGTTTATGATAAAAATTTATAGTTTAAAAGCATTTTCGAAAAACATAAACCATGATGCACGTGCCATAATTGGAGCTATTTTTGGTTATTTTATATGTCAAAATTAAAAATCCAAAATAATATTTGCTCCATTAAAAAAATTATATATCAATATAAAATAATATTATTTGAATATTGTTTTCTTTAAATAATAATTAACACCATCCAAACAAATATTAGGCTTGTTACCATTTGAAATCATGTTTGGTATGTATTATCAGATTTCCAATTTTGCCCCTTTCTAAATATAACAAGCACGAAAAAGAGAGATGGAGAACATAAATCGAAGTGATACGCGTTATTTAAAAATTGATCATTTATGACGATTATATATATATATATATATATATATATATATATATTACATAACAAGATAATTAGTAATCACAACAGATCGATAAATTTTAGGTATGGATAAGAAATAAGAATGTAGTAACGGACTACAACTTTCTTCACACTAATAAAATTACACGATGACGAGTGAATAAATATTTAAATAAAGGTATAACCGATTGATGTCTCAAGAACTTCAAGTGGTTAATGGGTTGAATGGTGTTATATTTGGTATCACTCCTAGTTGTAGTATGGTGGAGGTGGAGATCGGTAGTAGTATGGAGGTGGGGAAGGAGACGGAGGAGGTGGTGGTGGTGACGTATAATAATATGGTGGAGGAGGTGAAGGTGAGGGAGGTGGAGGAGATCTGTAGTAGTACGGGGGAGGAGGTGAGGGAGATGGTGGTGGTGGAGATTTATAAATGTATGGTGGTGGTGGTGAAGGGGATGGTGGTGGAGGTGATTTGTATATGTAAGGTGGGGGAGGGGATGGTGGTGGTGGTGGTGGAGACTTGTAGATGTAAGGAGGTGGAGGTGGTGGAGATGGTGGTGGTGGGGATTTATAGATGTATGGAGGTGGTGGTGATGGTGATGGGGGTGGTGGTGATTTATAGATGTATGGAGGAGGTGGTGATGGTGATGGTGGTGGTGGTGATTTATAGATGTATGGAGGAGGTGGTGGTGGTGATGGTGGTGGTGGGGATTTGTAGATGTAAGGAGGTGGAGGTGATGGAGATGGTGGTGGTGGAGATTTGTAAACATATGGTGGTGGCGGTGAAGGTGATGGTGGTGGTGGAGACTTGTAGATGTAAGGAGGCGGAGGTGATGGAGATGGTGGTGGAGGTGACTTGTAAACGTAAGGTGGAGGTGGTGAAGGTGAAGGAGGTGGCGGTGATTTGTATACATATGGAGGAGGTGGTGATGGAGACGGGGGTGGTGGAGACTTGTAGATATAAGGCGGAGGAGGTGGTGGAGATGGTGGTGGAGGTGACTTGTAAATGTAAGGAGGAGGTGGTGACGGTGAAGGTGGTGGTGGGGATTTGTAAATGTATGGAGGTGGTGGTGACGGAGAGGGGGGTGGAGGTGATTCATAGTAATACGATGGTGGAGGTGATTTCACTGGTGGTGGAGGCGACTTGTAACGGTAAGGAGGAGGTGGTGATTTGGCTGGCGGTGGTGGTGACTTGTAAATATAACTTGGTGGTGGTGGCGGTGATGCATAAAAATGATCATCATCATCATCATCATGGTCGTCGTCGTCATCATCAGCCACGACATTAGTTACTAACACACATATTACGAACATAAGCAATAACCAACGCCAAAACGTGGTCATTCTTTTCGACCACTGGTAAACGTTTCGTATGTCGAATGAGAGTTTTGGTTGTATTGTACAATACCAACACTACCCCTTTTATAGTTTCAATTCCATCAAAATTCTTGGACATTTAAGCCAAGAAATAGTCAATATTATTGACATTTTCAATCATAACCTATAATATTATTTAATTCCAACATTAATTCAACAATAATATTTATTTTATAAAAGTTTTTATTATTTTTTAAAAACAAATAAAACGACTTGATCAAATCATCATTATAAAAACATACAGCAAAACTCTGTGAAGGTAACCTCACAGTATTTTTGTTGTGAATACTTTCCCAACGTTTTGTTGTGAAGTTTCAAGTGTAAGAAAGTGGTTTCATGGGTCTCACGATACAGGCTGGTTTCACGTGAACCCAACATTTTATATATATATATATATATATATATATATATAATACATGAACAAATTTGTTTTTCTAAACGGGTTCGAGAATCGTATAATGTATTTGTTGTTTATGATCGGTGTAATTCATTGCATAACTATGTCGAGGGCAATTTGGACAAATGCCATCTAAGTTTTCATGAAAAAGTCTCGATGTGTTTTTAGTAATGGATTATGTTAATCGTCTTTTGATACTTTTGATGGGATAATTTTTCAAAATCGCCGGCCTTTTCATTTTTTTATTAGTGAATAAAAATTCGGGTTGTCATCTTATTATTTTTACCATGACCAAGTCGCACCCGAAACCCATTCCTTTTATCAGATTAAAACCATCATTTTTCTCGGTATATTCTTAAACCAGACAAAATTCTTGTTTATGAGAAATTAATATAACAACAGGATCTGAATTGTTTTGTCTAAGGGACCGTTTACGAAATGCTTATTCATTAAGTGTTCACTGGGTCACTTCACCTTATCAGGTGAACATGATAAGGATTGAGAATTTTACCTGATAACAACGATGACATGGACCGAGAGTCTTACATGGTAAATATGAGTAACGACTCTTACCTGGTAAGATACGATCTCGTTTTAATAGATTAAAATCATACTCAGTAAGTTAAAGTGAAAGTATTGAATCTTTACCGGTAAGCGTTTATCGGGTAAGAGTTGGGTAAAGACACCTAATGGGCTATTTGACAGTTGCCGAATGGTTTGGTACAAAATGATTAAGTGGTCAGAATGATTAAGAGACTCTTATGATATGATATAAAATAAAATATAATCGTTTGGTAATTATTTACAATGAAATTAGGGCGTTAAATGGTTAAGGAAGACACAAGATACAAAACCATTACAAGGGTTTTAAAACCATTAAAAACAGACTTTTTTTATCAAACAAGATTCACCCTCTTAACGATTCAGAGTTGCCTCTTAATAAAACTATTAAGAGGTAAACAAATAAACCCCTAAGTAAACGTTGAATTCCTCAATTGATATTTAACTAAAGAAGAGCATACATAGATACAGACGCATACGTACGTGTATTAATTCATTAATACCTGAAAAAGCACTTTTTATTGCTTATTGTCAAGTTTTATCCAAATTTAAACGTAATTTTAAGTTCTGAAACGATAAGATTTTTAAATTGGGATTTGGATTTAAAATCGTGCAACTTTACACATTCATTTTATACATAATTTTAGCATTTTTATTTTTTTTCTAGAAGATTCAAAAATAGCATATTTAAAACGAGTAAAGTTTACTTTTAGTTCCTAACGTTTCTTAATTTCAACGGTTTTCGTTCCTCAATTTTATTTTAACAGATTTGTCCTTCATGTTTGACACCTCGTAATGATTTTTGTCCCTCCTATAAATGATCGTTAACTTTTCCCGTTAAATACAGTTTAATGGGGGTATTTTAGTAATTTAACTCGTTTTTCTTAATTTTTTTTGTTTTTACAAAAAAATCAAACTTTAGGGTACTGTTATATAATTAACTATTACATTCACAGTGTTTTGTTGTGAAGTTTCAAGTGTATAATAACGGTGTCTCACATGTCTCACGAAAACAGTCTTATTTCACATGATCCCAAATCTCTCTCTCTCTGTGTCTCTCTTTGTGTGTGTGTGTGTGTGTGTGTATAATTACGTAACAGTTTGGTATGGGCTGTTGGTTTACTTTGTTTATAAATAATAATAATAATAATCCATACCAATCTTTATTCATTCTGAAGTTTAGCAAGTCTGTTAAGATACTGATTTGATCCCAAAAAAATCGTTTGTTATCTAGTCCAAATAAAAAATCCACTCTGAAAAAGAACTAGTTGTCCAGCCTCATCCAGACTAATGATGTCATGGGCTAGTCTGTCTGGTCCGGTATGTGAACACAGTCCAAATACCCGTATCTATTCATGATAACATGCACGCATAATAGTGAATAAAACATGTTATCAACTACTAAGGGTATGTTTGTTAGTAGCTTAATGTGACTCATAGCTTATTCAGTCAGCTAAATCTGACTGTTTGGTAATGACTTAATGATATAGAAAGTGGCTTATTCAATAAGCTTCTAGAAAGAAAATTTATACAGAAAGCCAAGTTTTTCCAATTTCTTCCTCCCAATGAAAATACATGCTTATTCCATCTATTTAAAACTCTCCCAAACAAAAACTTTCCTAATTTATACAAACAATTGTATCCATATAAGACTTAAGAAAAACTAACCAAACAGCCCCTAGTGCGGCCTCGAACCTCAATTTTTTACGTGTATATGACGTATAAACATGTTTATATAAAAAAATACTATAAATACTTCAAAAGAGTCCATACTAACCCGAAAAAAACTGCATCTTTACAAAATTAATATGAATCTACTGAGTTATGTAAATCTTTATGTTTCAGTGGACGAGGGATTCAAGTCCTTCCATGTCCACTCTCACCTCATACACTGTATGAACCTTGCCAGTATACCAGTTGGGTACTATTCAGTTCATTTGCAAAGCTAATTTACGCAAACGAGTTTTTATCATGAGATAAATCTTACATTTCATGCTAACAGTAACGTAAATCACAAATATACATGATCATACTTCACATCCCGCATATACTTGAATATCATATAAATAATACACAATATGTTCAGCTACAACATATATAGTACTGATACTCAACTTGTTTCGCTTGTACATCCAGCTACAACATATATATATATATATATATATATATCTTCAGTTGTAAATCTGTAATCTGAATCGTTACAAATTCTAATATTCTGGTTGATAGCAACATATGTTCTCTTTTGCAGGAGATGTTTAACCCTTTTAACGGAATTTGATTTTCACAAAACTGATACTGGAACGACCCTTAGTAAGTAAACTATGTTCATCTGAAAAATAAAACATAGATTCATCTGTTAAGACATGCATATGATATGTTGTTCATTTATGTTTACAACTCTATTAGTTGGTTGCAGATATCGTTTGTGCCTATGAATAAATATCAGATTACATTTGAAATTTCTAGAACTGATATTCAACGTATTATTTAATTATGTCATGCCCAGAAACCAACTCAAATTTAACATCGTTAAGACGAAAAAGAACCCTCAATAATAGTCAAACTTTTGACTTTTTTTAGAATAATAACCATTTCTACAAAATACAACTACTCACCTGCGTACTTGTTTGTCCTAACACTTTTAAAACAATATATTAATATCAGTTAACATATAATTTCCATCAACAATTTTGAACATCGAAACAGAAATCAGAGCAGAGTTATGAAACCCATTCCAGTTTGTATTCTTAGTTTGACTGTTCAGTAATCCAACGATTTAAACTTCGGTAATCATATCTGATCTATTCTGATGCTTCAATATAACTGTCTAATAGTTAAGGAACTCGTATCTAACATAAATACATGCTTAAATTATCATAGGATGGAGAAACGTTTATGTTTCATTGATTGAGTCGATAAAACCAGTTCAGTTAGTGATATATTTTCACAAATATTATACTGATTTTGATTTATTAGGTATAATTTGATCGTTTAATGAATCCTAAAATTGTGAAACCCACCAAAGGGTCTTTGGTCTTCTATGAGGTCAGGGGTTTAAACCTCACCAAAGGTGAGAATGGCGTATAAGTTTATTTGTTATATTTATCATATATAAATATTATATACTTCAAAAAAATTGTGAAACCCGTATTCTTGAATTTATTGTTTTAAATTGTCTCATTCAAACCACAATGGTGGTGCCTGATTAGTTTGAGCTTGGCTCCAAAGGTCAAAAGTATCAGGGGGTCACATGTTCAAATCCAAGCAGGAATAAAAATCCTCTTGTGGCCACGGAGGTTCAAATGCGGTGACTCCGGGCTATCTGCAAAGCAGGTGGTTGTCCTGAGATTAGTCGGCTCGCATAGCGAGTTGGATATCCAGGTTAATCAAAAAAAATTGTCTCATTCAAATTTTCAACCCATTAACAATAAAAGTAGCCACATGACGTAATGCAGTTGATTTCATAACTTACCAAAGAGCTGTTAGGTTGGTTTTCTATTAAATTATGTATGAATAAAGTTATCTGTGTAAATTAATATGTCTATAAACCATAAGGGTGGTGACTCCAGAGGTTCAAATACGGTGACTCCGGATTATCTGCAAAGCAGGTGGTCGTCCTGAGATTAGTAGGCTCGCAGAGCGGGTTGGATATCCATGTTAATAATATATATATATATATATATATATGTGTGTGTGTGTGTGTGTGTGTGTGTATAAATTAAGAAAGTTTTTGTTTGAGAGATATTCTCATAGATAGAAGAAGTTTTTTTAAAAATTATAAGGGATATTGTTTTGGAAAAAAAAATTGGTTTTCTGCATAAAACTCTCATTTAGAAGCTTATTGAATAAGTCATTTTCTATTTATTAAACCACTACCAAACATTCATATATAGTTGACCGTATAAGCTATTAATCTCACTAAGTTCATTAAGTTGCTAACAAACATGTTCCAAGACTTTGAAACAAAGACATTGAAGAAAATAACAGTAACCCAAAACACAGCACAATTAATTCCAAGATAATATACCTGTATAAACAAGAGTACAAATCTAACATAATAACAGTTAAAAACTCGTAATAATAGATCTTGGGGATATGGTAAAATATCTCATCTGTCTAAGATTTGATTTCAAACATACACAACAATTATGGCTACTGAACTTATCAGGACTGATTTTTAGAGACACCCTTAAAAATAAGTAGTTTTTATCACAAAATGGATATGATGGCATGTAAACGTTCCCATTGTAATTCACGTGCACTCTACTTAAACTCGTGTTCCATCGAGGAAACGTGGAAAAAGGTTAAGCTATCGTTTATTTCTAAACTTGTTTAAAATAATTTAATTTTAAACTTATTAAAAAATAAATTTATAGTTTTGTACACCGGTGCTTATGGGTTGGGTTGATCAGGTTAAAAATATTTGAACAACCTAACCTAATGTTTGCAATTTGAAAAATCTTAACTCAACTCAACTTAACTTAACCCAACCCAAACCGTATGGGTTGATAGAGTTAGTCGAGTTGATAGTTTGGTACATTAAAATATTCTTCTAACTTTGAATATGTTATTTCTCTACTCATATTTTCTTTTTTCATAATCAACCATTTGATACAACTTATCTATACTTCTTACATATATCACATTCAATTAATTTTCTCAATTTACATATATAACAGTTAAAACTTACAACTTATCTATACTTCTTACATAATCAACCATTTGACTCTGTCCCGCACCCTATAGCTTACACATGAAGGAGAGTATTGAAGTAATATTTGTCTCAAATCTAATAAAACGTCTGTTTAGATGGTATTTTAACCGTCTTGTGTTCAAACACATGCGGTTGTATGATCGTTACATAAGTTATATGCAATAATTGCTTTTGTGTACTTTTTCCGTTAATTAAATACGTAAATTACTCTTCAAAACACCGTTTTATTAAATTATTTTACTATATTATCTGTTTTGGAAATTAAAAACGTGTTGATACGATTAAAGACTTGCAGTGGCCCGACACTTATCATATAAATGTGCTATTAAGTTTTATAATGGCTATATGAAGAAGGTGAAAAATAAGGGGGGGCCTTGACTGCCACTGCCTTCAAGGCCGTATGTCGATGGTTTAAATACATACGGTTGTATGATTGTTACGTAAATTATATGCAATAACTACTTTTATATACTTTTTTTTTATTAACCTGGATATCCAACCCGCTATGCGAGCCGACTAATTCCAGGGCGACCACTTGCTTTGCAGATAGCTCGAAGTCATCGTATTTAAACCTCCGTGGCCACAAGAAGATTTTTATTCCTCCTTGGATTTGAACCTGAGACCTCCTGATACTTTTATATACTTTTTTCGATAATTAAATACTTAAATTACTCTTCAGATAAGAAATAACGTTTTTAACATAAAAAATTTACGGTACAAATACTATTAATTATACCATAAAATGATATTGTTCGTATTATCTATCAGTTTTTTAATCTAACTTTAAATATCAAATAGATCTCCTTTTCATCTCTACGCATTTCACCGCTCCACCGGAAATTCCCGAGTCGGGCCTTTTTTGTTTCAACAATTTCCTTTATTTATAGGCAAATTAGATACCCAATTTGGTATATGTGTAACAATTTTCGTTCTGGGGTTTACATATATTTATATTTTTTTGTTATAATGGAAAACGGATTTTTTCAATATATAAACTAAAAATTCCAATGGCTTTAATAAAAGTTGTAAGCAGAGGAGAGTTATTGTCTAGATCGATTTCAATTTCAAAATGATATAAACATATATATTTCTTTTTTATAAAAATCAATAATTAGATAAGATTTCAATAAGAACTATAAATATAATTAGGATAATCATTGAGTTCTAACAGAATCATTATCTTTATAAAATTTTATTGTTAAGCAAAAAATAAATTACTTCACTAAATCGTAAAAACATTATCTTTCTCGAAACCACATAAATCATATTATATCAACGAAGACAAAAAATAAAACGAAACATTAAAATGAAGATATATCTTGCTGCATTTTGCGAGTACCTTTCTAGTAATTATGAAAAAAAATGTTTGTTTTGTTATTATTAAATTAAAAAATATATTTTAAATAGTCATAAATGCTAGAGTAAACTACAAATTTAGTCCCTTTGACTAGTAAAAAATAACAATTTTTGTTCTTATAGTTTCGAAATTATAAGATAGTTATCGTGGTTTTTAAAAAAGTCCTTATTTGGTCCCTTCCTCTAATAATAATAATTAAAAAATTCCGTTAAATGGAAAACATTCTCGTTTTTTATCAGTAAAATGATGAAAATGCTTCTCATTTAACGACTGTTAGAGATGATGATCAAATTTGAATTTTTTACAAACCATGATAGTCATCTTGTAATTTTAAAACTGTAAAGATAAAAAAATGTTATTTCTGACAAACCATAAGGACCTAATATGTAATTTACTCTAAATGCTACTTGTATTAATATGCCAATTTTTGGAATGGCATAGCCGCGGATCACTTTTGTGTCCAAATAATGGTACTTCATATGTATTATAATATCTAAGTGACAAAATTTTTGACATTGGGTTTATAAATTTCAAAATATGGCCACTAAGAATCTAATTTTGTCAGTTCGACCACGGTACTTCAAATCTTTTAATATTGGCCACCATTTTGGTAAATCATTAAAACAAACGGACGGAATACATGACGGTTTTGGTTAAATCATTAAAACAAACAGACCCTAAATTTCAAATAACAATGATAGTCATGTCTAGGGGTGCTCAAAAACCCGACCAACCCAACTCAACCCAACGCGAAATAACTCAACCTGAAGCAACCCAATGTCTAATCGAGTTGTAAAATTATCAAACCGTAGGTATTGGGTTAATATTGAGTTACTATTATTTGAACCCAACCCAACCCGACGAATCCGATATCCTTTTATTTCTTGGATTCAATATGATTGTTGAATTTCTATTAATATATATATTAGACAATTACACTATCATGGATGCTTTTCATATATACATATTTTCAATCTGTTCACATCACTATATAACTCATTCGTATATATGTTCAATAACTGTGAACACATATATGTACATTGAGAAAATTAACTGAATGTGATATACGTAAGAAATATGGATAAGTTGTATCAAATTGTTGATGATGAAAAGAAATTATGAGTAAAGAAATAATATATTCAAGGTTAGAAGAATATTTTAATGTACCAAAGTATCAACCTGACTAACCCGATCAACCCGTACGGGTTAAGTTAGGTTGTACTTTGGTTTGGGTTAGGTTGGGTTAAGATTTTTTCAAACCACAGGCATTGGGTTGAGTTATTCAAATGTCTTCAACCCGATCAACCCAACCCATGAGCACCCCTAGCCATGCCTAAAGTTGGACCGGTGCAAATAGAAGTGATGAAACTACTAAAGGTAAAACTATAGTTGCTGAAATGTAAAGTTTAAAAAGTTAAGGGGCCAGAAATAGAATTTGTAAGACAAACGTCAATATCAGTATCAGTCAACAATGGAGGAGGGTGCCATCTAAACCTCCATATATAAATGCACCATACACATTCACATGCAGAACAATATAAACTACTCTATACGACTTTGATCTCGCTTCTAATTGTTCTCAATCTCTGAACAATTGGATTAATTTGGAGCAAGTCATGGGAGCTGAATCGGAGAAATGGGTGTTGATGGTGACGGCGAGAACGCCAACCAACATCGCGGTGATTAAGTACTGGGGAAAGAGGGATGAGAAGTTGATTTTGCCGATTAATGATAGCATCAGTGTTACTCTCGATCCGAATCATCTGTGTACAACCACCACCGTCTCTGTGAGCCCTAGCTTCGTTGAAGATCGAATGTGGCTTAATGGCAAGGTACACTTGAATTGAATCCATGTTCTCTCCATATATTCAATTTAGATTTGAAATTAGATCCTATGAACGGACTGAATCATGTTAGAATCCGAAGTTTATTTCGATTAACTATCTTCAGTACACAAAGTTGCAACATTACTCTGTGAAAACCAAATTTGGAACTACAATTTTGTCACAAACTTCATTTTGACCTGTAAGAACTTGTTCGCAATTTTGCGGAGAGCGATTTTAAGGAAGTTGTATCAAAAAGTGCTTTAGCGATTCTACAGATGAAGTTATTCAGATCGATATAGATCTTATTTTCCAAATTGTACGTGTACATATATATATATATATATATATATATATATATATACACTGTTTGTTATCCGTTTTACTGTTCGCTACTTTAACTGCTAAATTTAGTCCAGTATCATAAGCATGATTCAACAATAGATGGAGTCTTACGATTCCAAATCAATGCAATCACTTCTTTGTAGTTATGATACTGTATAAACATACTAGCTACAAACGTTGCCTAACTAAATTAGATGTTGGAATCTTCAGTTTGGGGTCAGAAAGTGATAAAGCTGTCTGTGTGTGGATTAATTTGTTTGTACAGATTGATAAGTTTTTTGTTTGAGAGAGTTTTTTCATAGATGGAAAGAGCATTTTTTTTTAGTTGGAAGAGGCAGGTTTGGGAAAAACTTGGCTTTATGCACAAAGCTCCCCTTAGAAGCTTACTGAATAAGTCATTTTATATATGATTAAGCCACTACCAAAAAGTCATGTATAGCTGACCTAATAGGCTATGAGTTGGATATCCAGGTTAATCAACAAAAAAAAAAAAAAGAGGCTATGAGTCCCATTAAGCTCACTAAGCTACTATCAAACAGGCTCCAAGGAGATTATGTTAATTTCTGTTTTAAGATTTACCAACTAAAATTTTCTTAATCATGTTGATTACAGATAAAAGTTTCACTGCAGAAATTAAAGAAGCAGCTCTAAATTTGGACAGATATTCAAGCAAAACAGAGTACTTTCTTTTTAAGCCAACCGAAACTTGTTTATAGAACGCACAGAACCTAATTTAATTTAAAACTAGAAATTGCTCCAAAATCAGTTTGATTAATGAAAGCAGCTGCTGTAAAAAACAGAAAATTGCTCTAATTGAAGGTGCCTCTATGGTTCCAAAAACAGTTTCATGACTGTTTGATAGTGGCTTAATGATATTAGAAAGTAGCTTATTCAATAAGCTTTTAGGGGAAAGTTTTTTTTTGCAAAAGCCATGTTTTTCCCACCCAAACCTGCCCCTCCCAATGAAATAACATACTTCCAAATCTATAGAGACAGATTACTCCACATGGATAATTTTATCCACACGACTTGATGGAAAACCAACCAAACAACCCCAAAGTTAAGCTAAACATTACACAACCTCCTATCTTAAAGAGTAATTATTACAGTATTATTTCACAACCCACATATTCAAAACTATTTGCCATAAAAAAGAGAAAAATATAGTAAAATGGAACCTCTGATGCTAATTGATGGTTCTTGTGAATCTAGTATCCATCATATGTGTTGGTTAGTTTGATGAATTAAGCAAGTTATGAATCATCATTCCGCTGTCTGATTCCTGGCATTTTCTCTTGTTTTTGTTGGCTAGTGTAGGAGATATCACTTCAAGGAGGTAGATTCCAAAGTTGTTTAAGAGAAATTCGTGCTCGTGCTAATGATGTAGAGGACAAGAAAAAAGGCATCAAAATCAAGAAAGAGGATTGGCAAAAACTTCACCTGCACATTGCTTCATATAACAACTTCCCAACAGCAGCTGGTTTGGCTTCCTCAGCTGCTGGTCTCGCGTGTTTAGGTACGCAGTTTCATGCTTCAATGTTGCAGCATTATGCACTTTTCTGTCTATTGGCAGTAACGCTTGAGGTTCTTACAATAATCCGTAGAAACTTGAAAGAACATATCAATGTCTAAAGTACTTTATCTGAAGATCAAACCTCATTCTTCCTTCAGCAAGAAACATAGAAAATGATTGGAACACACCTTATATTAGTAATGAAATATGAGAAAACCGAGTATAAGTCGCTAAAGGGGTGTTCATCGGTTGAAATCCGAAGGATTTAGGTAGATCCGATCCGATCCAATCATCCATTGGATGTTGGACTTTGTCATCCGATCCGATCCGATTAGACATCTGATCCAATCCAAATCCAATGGATGATTGGATCGGATCGGTTCCATCTATTGGATGTTGGACTTTGTCATCCGATCCGATTAACATTCGACATCCTATCCAATCCAATCCAAATCCAATAGATGATTGGATCGGATCGGTTCCATCGGATTGGAAGTTACTATTGATTATCCATTGGATCAGATTGGATTCGTCCAATCTTTTGATCCAATACACAACCAATAAATCCACCATTTCAACCAATTATTCATATATTTTCTTAAGTTATTAAAAAATAATATATATAAATATCAACTAAAAAACAATATCGTAAAATGTTAATAATTATATATAGTTAGTAACTGGATATTAGTTGGATGATAATTGGATGGTCATCGGATGGGTCATTGGATTGGATCGGTTCGGTTTTATTGGATGTTGGACTGTCATGCAATAACCAATCGATCCGATTTGGATGTTGAAATTTTGAATTCGATCTGATCCCATTACAATTGGATATCCGATTATGGTCGGTTGGTTCTAATTGGATCGGTCGGTTTAAAATTGGATCGGATGACTTTCTGCACGCCCCTCGCTTCTCATATTACGGGCACAAATTATATATATATATAGAGAGAGAGAGGGGGGGGCAATTTTTTTGTTAACCGTCTGATTAGTACAAACTTTGCTAACCAGGGTATTTTCGTCTTCTTCATATATTGATACCACATTCCTTAATTATCTCATTCACTTTTTGGTTTCACCTATGAACTTTGATAAAAAATTTGGAACAACCAATGTTCATACACGAAACAACATTATGAACTTTACACAAAAACCATCATTTCACCTATGAACTTCAAACAAAAATCATTGTTTTACCTACGAACTTTCTGGTTTCAACAATCAAAGTTCATAGATGAAACAACACTATGAACTTTAAACAAACACCATATTAAACAAAGTTCAGTGGAGCTGCTGTTCAAGAGGGAGAGAGGAGAGTGCCGATGATTATCTTCTAAAATAAAAACAATTTGTTCCAAAATTGCCCTCTATTTAATTCAACTTAATTTCTTTCCCATTTCATAATTTTATAGCCTTCCATTTAACCATAACCATTCCTTTTGAATCAAACAAAGCAAGTAGTAGGGGCTTCATAGCAACTTTCGTTCCTCGCTTCCAGCTTTCTAAAAGCTTTTTTTTATTAACCTGGATATCCAACCCGCTATGCGAGCCGACTAATCCCAGGGCGACCACCTGCTTTGCAGATAGCCCGGAGTCACCGCATTTGAACCTTCGTGGCCACAAGGGGATTTTTATTCCTCCTTGGATTTGAACCTGAGACTTCCTGGTACTTTTGACCTTTGGAGCCAGCTCAAACCAATCAGGTACCACCCTTGTGGTTCTAAAAGCTATTTTAGTTAGCCTAAAGTTGTATTTTTTTACCAAAAAAAATAAACGGCTCAAATGAGTCTGTAAAGTTAATACTATAAATATACATATGCTCCTAATTACATTACATCTCCATATCTATGAATGATTGACTACCAAAGAATTTGTGATTCTATCGGCTGATAATTTAGCCTTGTTGTGCAGTGTTTTCCCTTGCCAAGCTGATGAACCTGAAAGAAGATAACAGTCAACTTTCTGCTATCGCCAGGTACTAATTACTTATTGCAATTTTCATGAGGTGGCCTCTAGGGTCTCAATGATTTTTCTTGACTTCATCTTTTGCTATTTTTGTTCTTAAGGG